TCATCTTTGACAAGCCATCTTTTGGCCCTCACTATAGACACAAAAGAAAGTGATCTACCAGAAATTGCTAGCTTGACGGGTATTGAAGATGATGCAGAACGGAGTGCTCTTGAGGTTGCTGAGGGAGACATGCAGGCCGGACTTTCACTGAAGGACACATTAAGTGCTGTTCGGAATGCTTCTCAAGCTGCAGCTCGCATTTACCAAGTTTTTAGAGTGCAGTCATTCCACAGAAAGAAGATTGTTGAGTATGGAGATGACAAGTCTGGAATATCAGATGAACATGCACTTTCACTTATATCTATCAAGTCGCATAAATCAGGACACTATGATACGCCTCTGCATGCTGCTGCCATTCGTATACAAAACAAGTTCAGAGGATGGAAAGGGAGAAAGGAGTTTTTGATTATTAGGCAACGGATAGTCAAGATCCAGGTCTGATGTTCTTGATTGATCACTTTGCTTGTGTATTTTCCATGCGTTTTGCTACTTTTGTTGTCCACCCATGTTCTTGGTTGCCTATAGTATTTTTACTCCATTTACTTTGTTTTGCTGTTATGCAGCTTTTCATACTAATGCTAGAGCTACTAGGTCTCAGACACATCAGATACATGTTCAGCATGTTACATGCACATAGTTTTGTGTAGCTGTAGAACATAAACATGTTTGCATATTATCCTGATACAAACCCATCATTGTCATTCAGGTTTTAAGCTGTAATGAAGTCATATGATATCAGCCCTGGGCATCAGTCAATCACCATTGTGCTTGCATGACAACCATGTTTGCATGACAACCATGTTCTTGATGACTCAGCTTTCTTTTGTTGTCCATTTGTTTGTTAACTAGTCTAGTTCCCCAAGTAACTTCTATCAGATTCCAATTCCTGAATATAGTAAAGCCTTGAAGATTACAGTGATAAACAATCCGGTTTCTCATCCACAGTCCAATATACATCATTACTCTCCAATTCTTGTTGTCTCATTTTGGCGAAATGGCCAAGATTTGGTTGCAGAGGTCACTTTCTTCATGACTAAAGAAATTTAAGGCCTAGTTGCAAATTTTTCTATCAGTAGATGAATCTAAAGTAGGTAAAACATGGGAAGGTTCAGTGACCGAGCAGCAGTTTGACTGGCTTCCCATTCAGTCAAGGAGAATCTATTGATGAGGAAGGCTATTTATGCTGATACACTTTCCTAAGTTAATAGATAACCTGAATTTATCAAATATCAAGTAACAATTCTTTGTAAAATTGGTCGTAAATATTCTGTTTAAACTATGACTTTGGTTTTTGTTTTGATTTATAATTTTGACTATTAACTCAATAGAGACTAATGTTGAAACTTGAAATTTGTTGTGTAAGGGGTGATAATTTTGAGTGTCAAACATTGTGTTTTTTCCTGCCATTTCAAGTATTTTTTTTCTTTAAATTATGATTTTCTTTTACTTCAATTGGTTCTATAACATTAATGATTAATTCAGTAAAGAAAAATGTTGACTTAATTTGCATGAAAGTCAAGCACTGTACCCATTCAGCTGCTAATCTGTTTTTGTTACAACTTACAAGTACTTATTGTCATCTATTAGTTATTTATTTATGTTCTTGTTCTGATGACTAGGCTCATGTACGCGGCCATCAAGTGAGGAAACGATATCGAAAAATTGTGTGGTCAGTAGGAATTGTGGAGAAAGCTATATTGCGTTGGAGGCGTAAAGGAAGTGGCTTACGTGGCTTTCGATCTGAAGGTCTTTTGGAGGGCACTACCATGCAATGTCAACCTAAAAAGGAAGATGATTATGATTTCTTGCAAGAAGGCAGAAGACAGACAGAAGCTAGAATGCAGAAGGCACTTGCAAGGGTGAAGTCTATGGTTCAATATCCAGAAGCTAGAGATCAGTATCGAAGACTTCTAGCTGTTGTTACAGACTTCCAGGAGTCCAAGGTAGCTCTTTTTTCTTTTACTTGGATTTGTTCTACTTCCATGGCATACCAACAGACCAAAATTTTGATCTAGTAGGTCTTAAGAGTTTGTAGGTATTTTAAACTAACAAGCCATAGTGTCTCATCTTTCGTCATATTGGGAACTATGATTCTGTAGTTCCCTCAAAGTTTTGTCTTCTATCATATTCTCTATATTATATTGCTTAGTTGTGAGCTTGGTTTAAGTAGCACATATGAGATATTTGAAGTTCTCTTAGAGCTGATGTCTGGTATCAAATCCTTCCATTTCAACTTTGTATTCTGTTTCACCTGATGTTCTTGTTCCATCTGTGTGTCTGTATTCTGGCATACTGTTATGCAAAATCTTTATTGTTCTCTTAACAATGTGTTATTCAGATTAGTGAGTCCAGAATGAAAACATAGTGTCTTTTGAGATAGTAACCATGAACATGTGGTTTATGCAAATTGTAGATATCATATACTATCCTGCATGCATCACTGGGATGATGTAATTCATTGTTCCAAATGGCATGCTGTGTTCTTCAGCTTACTGAGGCTAGAATAAAATTGGCTCAAATCATTGCAGTGTCTTCCCCATCCTTAACATTCTTCTAGTTCTTTCCTTATTTTTTTGAGATAGCAACCCTGAACATGTTGGTTATGCAACTATATATATCATTTATCATCCAGCATGCATCACTGGGATGATGTAATCCAGTTTTCCAAGTTCTGCACCCTTCAGACTATGCTTCTAAATAGGACAGGGTTGGTAAAAATTAATGCTCTTTGGGAGATATTTTGATATGTAAGCTAGGAAACTACCATGTTTAGTCCAAAAGTTGTTCTGCTTAGATTTTGGGGTGCCAGTGGAATGGGGTGGCTCATGCCTGGACCATGCTTCGACCGAAAAACTAGGATTTTGACCCTTCAGCCAGTTGTGGCTAGTGCAATTAGACTAGTCAGGTTTCTGATGGCTTAGACCTAGTAGTTCTATAAAATGCTGTAGGACTGATTCTTGAAATGGGCTTGCCTGAAGGTGTCGACTGAGCTCAAATGCATGAATTAGGGTTGAGACATGGCAACCTCTGGATCGTCATTAATCCCTGGACTCTTTTCAGGAAAAATGTGGGCCTTGGTTTAGGTGGCCGTGATGGTAAGATCATTACTAGTATGAGTGTGGCTAGCTGATAAAGCCTACTGAATCATTGTAAATGAATATGATCATCATGTAATTGACTATTTGTTTGGTATACTGCACACTAGCACCTAATATAATTTTGACACTGGGACTTGTATATTTTTATTTTTTACAGGCAATGGAAGAAAGCGTTGACAATGAGTCAGAGGAGAATGCAGATGGGGATTTCATGGTTGAGCTAGAAGAGTTCTTGGAAGGTGACACGCTGATGCCCAGTGCTTGATGAGGTTGAACTTTATTTGTAATTCATATGTTAAATATTTGCATCATAGTACCACCTCTAGTCCATTAACTTCTACTGTAAATCATCCTCCACTAATCATAACCTCCTAGATACAGTTAAGTTGCATTTGGCGTGTGTCATGCATGTAGCTGATATATTATGAGCAACAATAATAGCTGTACTGAAGAGCTGGAATGAACTCGAATATAGTTTGTACATTGTACCATGGACAAGCTGGGAGTTACATACATAAATTATTAATGTAGTTTGTGCCGTGGAGAAAAAAATTGGTATTGCATACTAGATTATGGTTTGATTCTGCTATGCCATTGTGTTTTTACTTTAATCTGACACAGCTCTTAGTTTTGTATATCAAGGAAGAGTTCTGTTGAGAGGATGCATGATCTCAAGGCCCTGTTCTGCTTATGCTGCTTTCAGTAGTTGTATGATAAAGATGTGCGTGACTTCGGTTTCCACTAATGTAAGTTTCATGGCTTCTGAAGTATAGTTATCATGCTTTGGTACAGTAGAAGTCAGAGGCGGAATCAGAGAGAAAAGTCAAATATTCTCTCTCTCTCTCTCTCTCTCCCTTGAAATTGACTATTTCTTCTAACCATTTATTCGTCTCCTTCCAAATTGTGTGACATTCTATTAATTTGCTTTGTAACTCGTTGTGGATAGATTATTTTTTTGTATGTTGACTGTTTGATACCGGTGCATGGTCTGCTACTGCCCGGAACGCCATGTTATCTAATTTCTATGTTTAATCCCAGTCACTTTTCTGATGTTTCTGACATATTAATAGGGATCATTTTGCTACTGATATATATTTCTTTTTAATGTTTTTTGCTTTAAATTGTGTTTTGCATAGTTGTTTGTTTGTTTCTCTTTAAATGAAACAAGTATACGTTTTACTTTTTCGCTGATGGACTAATTCTCCGGACAATACAAATCCATTCCGTTACTAGCTTTTGAAAGTAATATTTTGGTTCAAATGCAAGTCACGCACTTCCAAGTTGTAGACTCAAAATCTTTACAAGCACACTTTGCAGTGTCTCGGATGACTTATTTTCATTTGCCATCTTGTGTGTAGGTCTCGCATGTTTCATATAGTGATCAGGGTAAATTATAATTTAGCCTGTGTGATTTGGTATTGTCACTTTTTTTTATTTGTGTGCAAGTGGTGAGATTTTCTATTAGTAGTCTTAACAGCTAGGTTAATTGACACAGTAAAAATAATTAGGATTTAAATATATATATATTCTTTATTTTATTGTGTAATTATCAAGTGGTTGTAAGGTTGATCTTTCATATCAACAAAAGCAGTTTCGATGCTTAATGAATGATAATGGTTTATATGTTTGCATCAAAAGCTAGCCAAGGAAGCGACTGTTACCGTAGCATACTGCGAGAGTTGGTAGGTTGGTTCAAGAAATGGAGTTCCTAAGTAGAAGAAAGATCCATTTTGATAATTTTTGGATAGTCAAATAATCATTCCCCAGTCAAGATTTTATAAATTCGACTTAAAAAAAAAAAACTTTACTCGAGGTATCAATTTTCACTTTCGATGATCCAAACAAAATCGACCTGAATTGTTAATAATGGTTTTGTTTTTCGTTGCCAATATTATACTTAGTTTAGATTTGGAAAAACCGATGACAAATACTGATTGTTGTTTTTTTTAATATTAGATTTGGAAAAGAGAGATTTTTCCCTTCCCCTTGTCACCCGTCTTGTGGTAGGTTGGGATTGGGCAAATCTCCCACGGAATTTTCTGCGGACGTGTCGTTATGTAATGCGTCTCCGTACGGGTGGTTTGTCGACAACATGAAACAGCTGATCCAATCCGACCCATATGTCCAGAGCCGTGCGAGCAGGGGGAATTCGAAGTTTTGCGAATTTTCTGCTTCGTTGGCTCTCCCCTTTTTTTTGTATTCTTTCTATCGCCACTCTGCCATAAAACTCTCGAAGCGGTGCGGTCCATCGCAGTCTAGCTTAATCCTCCTCCTCCTCCTCCTCCGCTTCCCATGTCTCGACCTCGCTCGGATGGTGGCATGGGCGTCGCCACGGGCGGTCCCTCGCTGGCGAACGGCATCCTCGCCAACGGGGATTCTGGTCACAGGACATGCGAGAGCGACTTCCGGGGACTCGATCGGCCTGGGGTGGCTGGTGCTGCGGCGGCTCCTCTTCCTCCTCCTCCTCCTCCTCCTTCGCCCTCGACCCTCCCCGCTGGCATTCGTCGGGCGCCCGACGAGGAGCGGCGGAGGCTCCGGCGTTGCGTCGAGGCAGCGACCAAGGGTTTCGCGATAGGCGCTGGCTTGAAGGGGGGGCTCGCGCTGTTCTCTGTTCTTGTGCGGTTGAAGAGCCGCAGATCCTTGAGGCCGTCCGCCAGGTTTGATCGATAGGGTCTCCCGAGTCCCCTCTCACGCGAGCATATTTTGGTTTTCTTGACTTTTTGATCTTTTTTTATGGGCGTTAATTTTCAGGAAGGCGGGTGTATTCACGAATGAGGAGGCTGTAGTTTTGGCATTGAAGGAGACGCTGAGATATGGGTTGTTTCTGGGGACGTTTGCTGGAGCATATGTTTCGGTGGACGAGGTTATCGCTGCATTCGGTGGCCACAGACGGTAAAGCATGTTGGAATTGGGAAAGTTCATCTTTGTTATGCCTCTTCTATTTTCTTCATGTTCTAGGTTTTTTTCTTCTTTGTTTCATAATTATAGGTGTTTCATGGTCTTATGGGGTGCGATTTCTTCTAGAATTTGCACTGTTCTTAACATTTTAGTAAATCAATGACAAAAAAAGCATACGAGGAGGCAACATTATATGATTATGACAAAAGAAAGGCCTAATTTAATTATACGGAGTCTATTATATCCTTGATTATGTATGTGCAATGGATCTGTACATTGATAGTGAGCTATTGAAAGTGACTTGCCTTTTTTTTTTCCAGACTGGACTCGGGTGAAACAACCATGACAGATTGATTAGTGATGGCCTGGATTCTTTTTCTGTAGATTAGCTATTACTAGTTGACGAGGATCAAAGTGCCATTGAGATGGGTTTGCTTGCCTGACTACAAAATATGATCTACTGATGCTGTAACACATTCAAAAACAGTAACTCAAGGCATATTGGATGATACATCCCATATGGTGTGAGACTTTGAATCTTTGATAATTGAAACTGTACCAACTTGTCCTATTTCAACTTACTGTTGACACTGGGTGGGTCTCCATTAAGTTTCAACAAATTTTTGTGTTTCCAACTTCCCTCTGTAGATTTTGGTCAATCTCGAAATGGTTTTATCTGGTTTTCAGCTTTCTGAACCAATTTCCAGATTTTCCAGAAAAGGTTGATTCCTCAATCTAATTCAATTAATCCAAGGCAATGTGTATGTCCTAGTTGCTGTGAATGATTCCAACCCCAAATGCTCTCTTGGGAACCTTCTTATCACTAAATCCTGTGGGCTATTCAAAGTTCGAATTCTTTTCTGGGAACCCTTTTTAACACTGTAATCATGCTTGTATGCTTGTAAAACAACATGAAAGATCTAGTCTTATGATGATTTCTGTGGGTTCAAGTAGGAACTTAAGTCTCTTCCTAGCTTCCTGCAACCTTGTATGTCAGACATACCATGCTGCGTTCTTCTATGATTCTCACTTCCACAATGTTTGTCTATGTCCTGTTTTAGATATCATAACTTATTTTGGCTTACCCTTGGTTTTCCTTCTTGAGGATGGTTGTTCATAAGGGAAACATTTAAATATGTCTCTAGAGTTAATTAATTTACTGAGCTAGCCTTTATTGTTGTTCTGAATCCTTTATGTTTGCAAAATACCTAGCATTAGAACAATCTTTGAAGATGCCTTACTTTTATATATATCTCTTTAACTTCATTTTCTATCTAATCAGTATAGTTGTGGTATTAATGTGCTCAATTTTTTTAATATCAAACACACTAGAATTGAACAATTGAGACCAGCATGGTCAGTGTTTTTGCCTAGTGTCATAAGTTGGAATGTGGTTAGCACAAAAGATTTGGAATTCCCTTTGTGCAAAAGTTTTCGAGGGAAAGGCTAACATGTAAGAAGGATAAGTTCTGCTAAATGGTCTTTTTACTGTTGAGATTCAAAGATCAACAACACATCAAATTGTATTCTATTGCCTGCCCTTTGTTTTTATCTTCCTATCAGAATTAAATAGTAGTGGAAGCATGCCTATAAAACATAAACAGAATGAAAGCCTCTTATGTGATGCTACAGCATTCTCTTGAGTGCTTATGTTAACCATAACTCTCTTTCATCTGTGGTTTGACATCCTTATAAAACCATAGATTTTAAGGGTGTCATGAGAGCTAACAGTTTAATAGAAATTCTGTTTGTTGTTTTGTCTCAGAACTGCAGGTTGGCGATCCCTCATAGCAGGGTTGATTGCTGGTCCATCAATGCTCTTAACGGGACCAAATACACAGCACACTAGCTTGGCTATATACATTCTTATGCGTGCTGCAGTGCTGGCATCACGTTGTGGGATAAAGAGTGAACGATTTGGTGGTTTGTGTAGACCATTGACATGGCTACATGGTGACATATTTCTTATGTGTCTTTCCTCTTCACAAATCCTGTATGTTTGATTATACAAATTTTGTTTCATTTTCATTATATCTGGTGATATTTTAATTTGGTCTAGACTATTATGATTAAATTGATTTATTACGACAGATCTAATAGAGATATTTCCTAATGTAAAACCATTGTTCTTTGTTGGATCTAGAAGTAAAACAAAATCATCTGGCTGTGAAACTGAATGAAACATGCTAAAGATATATGAGGATTTAGATACTTTGTGATGATTAATATGGTGAAATTCTATTCATATTAAATCTAGAAACTGGGTTCAAAATGTCCAGAAGAAGTTTTCAATGTCTTCAACCTTTTGAACTGAACTATTGATTGCTTCTAGCCTTCAGTGTCCAGAAGAAAATTTTATGATGCTTTATTGTTCTTATGCTGCCTCTTTTTTTTGGTTGAAAATTGTTAAATACAAACTTTTTATTCCCATTGATATGTTTTTCATTTAGAAAAATTTGCTTCTCCCTTTGAGAACTACTTTTGACAGATATGTTTAAGCATAACTTGAAAGAAAATTTTGTCTGGAATATTTAGGTTCAATACAAATGCGCTGATGCATCAAATTTTTGTGACTCTACGTTCTACAACTCTATTCCATGTCAACTGGCTAGATAGTGCTTTTGTACTTTGATACTGGTCCAGATAAATGAATTTGTTGTGATCAGGTCGTTGGATATGCCATCCCATGATTCGTCTTGTCTTATAAAAAAAAAATCCACCTATTACTATAATTTATACCATTACCCTTTTATTGTATGGATTTAAATTTGATTTTGGTATATTTTATCATTTATCTAGTTTTTGGCAGGTCTGCTTACATTCTGAAGCAAGATAGTTTGCCATCATCATACAAGTCATTTCTTAATAAGCATGGTGGAAAAGATGCTGTCATTCTCCAGGGTGTTAAAGAAATTGCATCCAGTATTCCTTTTTCCAATTTAGACAAGATTGAGAAGTATTACAAGTCTATCAGTGTTGATGTGAAACTAGACCCTAACATGAAAGTTCCATGCTCGGTGTGTAATCTGATGTTTTCGTTTTTCTTTAAATTAATAGCCATTCCTGGGGTCTTTTGTGTAATTTTATGAATATGCTCACAAATTTTTATCGGTTCTTTGTTCATTGATGATAGTTGTGCATTCGTCTTTTGTTGTTCAACTGAATTTGCTATAAGTGAGACTTGTATGATCATCCACTTCTGCTGATAACTCTGATCATGCCTATCTTTTAAATTTTCTCCGTATTAGCTGCTGGTGTTTAATTCAACAAAAGAAGTCTTGTGGTTTACCAAATTTTCTAGAATGTGACTATACAGGTACTTTGCTTAAATTAAACTCATGATTGTACATTTTAGGAGTTGGAAGACAACATGTTTGTTGTTTGGATCTAATATGGTATGTAAACTGTAATTAGGTTTCAGAAACAGAAGATTGTTTATGACTGCTGGTATCAACTCTCGGTTTTAAGATGTCCTCTATAGCTTAGTAGCTGACCCCATGTTGGTGGATGAAGTTTGGATTTATATTATTAAAAAATAATGATTTTTTGTAGATGAACCTCAGAATTTATCTACTTGCACACTTATAGTGTAACTCCTAATGTTAGATTTATTCATCAATTACAAAAGTTATTGATTTTTGCAGATTGTTCATGGCAATCAATCTTGTTCTAGGCATTTCATAACTTTCCTTTTCCAAGAATACGGAAGAGCAATTCCAGTTTATCTTCCAGTCTACTTGGTTCCTGCACTCATAGTTCATCGTCAGGGTCTTTTGAAAAGGTATTGAGTTTACCTCTTAACTTATTCTGTAAAGAAAGCTTGAATAGTTTTTCATTTCTATTCCTCTTTAAGTTACATTGCTAGTCTGTGATCACTGATTAGGGTAAAAAAGCATTTACATAAATTTAAGAATTATAAATTCATTTGTGCATAGTCTTTGCTCATTTATTTCCAGTCGGTCAGAAGTCAAGCTTCAAGATTTAGGCCTTGGAAACAAAATAATCTTTTGTCATTAGTTTGTTTGGTTCATGGTAAACATTCAAAAGTCTTCCTTGTACATCTATTATAGCAATTATCATGTTGACTTATTTAGGGTGCATTTGATATATCCTCGTATATATTTTTAATCCAATCTTATTACTTTATGGAAAATTTCTCAACCATGAATATCTGAGGAAATTTTGAGTTCCCCTACTACTTGTCATGGTGCAAGTACACCAAGTCAAGGGCATGTTTGTTTTGTAAGCTTGTTTCTTATCACGCACAAATTGATGCCTGAAAATTTAGAGCTTCTTTAGTTAATTCTGTATAGGAAGGGACTAGGTTTATATTGAAATTAAGATGTGAAGTATGTGTATTTGCTTGAACTATTGTCTAAATTGTGTTGAACGATGTGATAACTTGGTACATGATCATGAGTGGGATAATAATTTCTCTTGGACCGGTACGAAATGAGCAGCACATATCGGTCCGGACGCTGACCGGCATGTGGACGCACCCCGGTCTAGTCCGTCACATAAGAGAAGTGGGAAACCCTAATTCCCACTTCTCATGTGAGCGCTGCGGCTTGAGACTGTCGCCTCTGCCTCGTAGGGTTCGCGAATGTTGCCTCCACCGCTGCGATTGATGCTTCTCACGTAGGTGGCTACCGGGCCGGAGTGCAATCACGAACTCACTACACATCGCCACATCTCAGGTAAGTCTTTCTATTCCTCCATCCTTCGGCGCTTCCTCTCCTTCCCTATTTCTTCCTCCTTCCACTGTCCCTTCCTCTTCTCCCTTTTTTCTTCCTCTCCTAAACACCAGTACTTACCAGTGTACCCACACATGGTACACCGGTACAGATTGGTACATGCTGGCCCAAAGAATCTCCAAGTCGGGTCTGGTACCCAGTTTGGCAAACCCTGATCATGACCATATCTGATATCATTATGTTAGATGGAAAAGTTTCATTGTCACTTAACCATAGGAAGAGCTTGGGTATAAAAAAAGCATGCATCTGCATAAGTTTTATTGTCTCACCATTTTCTACTAGTCATTCTGTGATGTTTTTGCAGTAAAGATTATGGAATGTCCATTTATTTCACCCCAAGTGTCCAAAATGCTATGAAATATGTTTGTGGTGCAAGAGTGGCTTTTGAAGTATGAAGTTTGGTTGCTAAGGATGAGATTGTGGTAGTGTCCTGTGGAGATGCCATTTTATATGTCATCTGTAAAGCTACATGTGTAGATTTCTTTTTCAAACTAGGGCAGCTTCTTCAAAGATGTGATCATTGAGTTAAATACTATATTTATAATAACAATTACATTGTTAACATTAAACACGTCCATGCTGCACACTTTGACCCTCCTTAGACCCTCATTGGCAGAGAGCCTTGAGCACCGGTCTGCACTTTTAGACTAGGCTAAACTTGCCTAGATGATAATTCTAGTCCAACATCATAGGTTCTGAAAGTTATGTGACCCTATGACAGGTAATTTCTTGAAATATCTGTGGTATGTTTGGTAACTCATGTTTAGTCCAGACTTGCTTCTATAAGTTAAAATCTTTCTAAATCTTGAAGGTTAAAAGAGTGGTGGAAACTTAGAAATGTCATTAACATAATGTCTTGTTTGCATGGTTGTAGTCTCACATTGGATGTGCACGAGAGATGTTGGCTCCTGTATAGGCAATGAACCCAAAAAAACAGTGGCTAGCTTTTCTGTGTGGTTCTGGTTCATGTCCAAAATCCTGCACTTAAACAATCTAAAGAGTTCCATGAGCTCACTTTGTGACTGTTACAAAACATTTTTTGTAATCTCTGTATACTTTGATTTGCAAAAGAAAATTTGTTTTACTGATAAGATAGAAGCAGGCTTATCTTTGAACCCGTAGAAATGTAATTTAAGTGTCACCTTTTTCAATCATTATTTCGAGGGGTCAGTCATGATATTATGGCCTATCAAGGGTCTGGATGAATTTCTGGCTTCATCTAAATGTGTAAAATGTAATAGTCGCATTTATGAGCTAAGTACTCTGCCACTGAATTAGCAACCTGAATAAAATAAATAGGATATGTAGATTCAAATTAAAAATCAAATAAATTGCACTGCATGACCTCATTAAACATTGAGGACACACAAGTTTAGATATATTTGGTTCATTTTGATTTTGGAGCAAACATCATGGATAATGCCTATGGTAGAGTGAATTCATGGAGAATCTATACATGATTTTGATCCTTTTAATAATTGTAGCTTGTATCTGTCTTTCTTCGTTTACTGGTGAAGACCCAAAATCATCTAACTGACTTTTCAATAATGGGCATATAGTTTTGTGTGTTTCTGATGGCCATCACTATTTTTTTTTTTCATTTTCAGCTTCTTTAGTCATTTTTGTTGGAGTTGTTATAGCTACATTTGGTGTCATGCTTCTTCTACACCTTACACATTCATGGTTTTTGGTCTCTAGTCTTATAGCTAAAATCAAATATGATTAATTTTGCTATAGATATCGGATAAGATCCTAACATTTGTCAGTGAATTTTCAACATCTACCACTGAGAAGCAGATATTGAATATTTTCCCAAATGATTTATTTGGTCTTTTATGCTGTCAGACTTGATATAAAAGTGCTTGACGAGGATCCTTTCTTCTATAGACTTAAAAATGGAACTTTCTTTTTTGTTCTCCCTCAATTTTGACATCGTGGTATTCTGTATTTTATTTTTGATTTTTGACCCTCTAACATCGTCCTCTTCGGAGAGTTGCCTTTTCACCATATCACAAATTCGTACTAAATGTTTGTAATGGTTCTCTTATTTTCCCGCCTATGCAGGCCTTACACAATTCTTGGGAAGAGTCTTCTGGGAACTGCAAGATCCAGCCTGTTCCTCTCTGTATATTGTGCATCTGCCTGGTTAGCTTTTGCTCTCCTCTCTTATACACATGCTAGCCATTTGTTTTTGTCAGATTCATTTGCCTAACTATCTGTCTGTTTCAGTTGTTTTTATAACAAACTTAGCCTGGTTCATCAATGTAGAAGATGATTATGCTTTCCATCTGTAAAAATCAGTCATTTGTGGTAGAGGGGCTAGAAAACAGTCCTAGACTTGATTCACCTAATTTTAGTAGGCAAGCTTTTTCTGTCTATGTTTTATGTTGCATGATGTGATATCTGAGTACCGGTATCATTTATCTGTTATTTGAACCAGAATTGAAATAGTGATTTTGATGGAGAACCATCGAGCTTTATAAAAGATTTTAGAAAAGTTTATTTTAGGTAAAGATATCAACAAAAAGTCATCAATTATTTGGTCTAGAAATTTTAAGAGTTGTATTGAAAATTAAAAAGACTTTTGGTCTTTTTATGGACTCCTTTTGTATTAAGTACACTCATGTACTATTTAGGTATCCTATAAGTCACATTTTGGATTTCTGAAAGGCATACTATTTACCTAGGAGATTACTCTTGGAAATTAATATCTTTATTAATTATACCAAGGCTCCTAAACCCCTAAAAATAGTGGAGCTTGTTAATGGATCAAACATCTCAGATTTGAGTAAAAAAAAGGCTTGCATCTTCTCTTTCCTAGTCTCTTATACTCTTCTCTTGCTATCTTGCTCTCTTGCTTTCTCTCTACATCTCTTCTCTCTACTTTGTTTTACATCAGTTTGGTATTAAAGCCAGGTCTCTACTCCTCTCTTCTCTCTACACTTTAGATTTTAAGACTACGCGTATCACTAGCAGTAGAGAGAATAGCATGGGCATCATCAATTTCTAGTTCGTTTCCATCACGTTAGCAGGTTTCGAGGTCAACTACTTGGTCTACTTCTTCGATTTGATCCTCTGGTTCTTGCTTTAAGATAAGGGTACATTGAGGATAACGAGAGGCAATGTGACTTCTATTATGGCAATAATGACACTAGATTGAAGACGAACTAGTTTGAGAATCAATAGTTAAACGAGTTGGACGAGTCATGGTTGAGCCAGGATTATTGCTATTAGTAGGGATTTTTGGCTTGACTGAGCTACTAGGGGTAGATTGGAAAATAGTTCTATTGTCGAGAGATTGAGAAGTCTTCTTTAAGAGAGACTTCCCGTTGAATGTCAAACCTCAACTTATTAACAAATCTTCGAACAATGATAATTTGGTCCTCTTCTATTTCACACTTAGGTAAAAGTTCCTCAAATTGGGCCAAACACTCTACTACACTAGAATTCAATTGTTTAAGGTTTAACTATTGTTCAACCAATTGGCTTCGAAAGTAGGTTGGTAAATATTTTTTCTTGAGTTTTTGTTTCACTGATTTCCTATTGAGTGATGCGAGGCTCTTGATGGTGTTCGAGACTATGTTGGACATGTTGCCAATATTTTCTAGCGGACCTTACCAGTTTCATTTTTGCAAATTGTACATGTTCAATATCAATCATTCCACGCCACTCAAAGGAGCCTTCCATGGCTAGTCAACAAACATATTTGGGTCAAACCTACCATCAAAGTCTGGCATATTCTATGACTCTTCTAATCATTTTCCCCAGTCCGAGGGTCAAACTGAGGTTATTAATCATTTGTTAGGAAATCTTTTTAGATGTTTAGTTGGGGAGAAACTCGGAAACTGGGACTTAACCTTACCCACTATCTAATTTGCATATAATAACTCAATCAATCGCTCTACTAGAAAAAGCTAATTTCAAACTATCTTCGGCTATACTCCTCACACCCCCCATCGACCTTGTACTCCTTCCACTTGATGATTATCGTGCCTCAGGGCTAGTCCACTCCTCTCAACGTATTCATGATTTGCATGCTGAGATTCAACATAAAATTGTCCTAAGTAATGAAAGTTATAAACTTGGTACTAATGTATATCGTAAAAGTCAATAGTTTCAAGTTGGCAACTTTGTTTTGGTTAGTGTTCATCTTGAGGGATTCCTTAAAAACTCATTTAAAAAGTTGCATACCCGAGCCATTGGTTCTTTTCCTATTTTCCAAAAATTATGATCTAATGCATATATGCTCAATTTGCCTTCCGACTTAAATATTAATCTAGTTTTTAATGTGGAGAATTTAACTTCAAATCATAGTATTTTTGAGCCTCCACTGTCTATCCGTGTTTCTGCATATGACAATTCTCCCAAAGCATCGATTTTCCCACGACATAGGGATGACGTAGAGGCAATTTTTGATGACCGCCTTGTTATATCTGCTACTAGTATTACGCAACACTTTTTTGTCAAGTGGCATGATCGTCTAGCTTCCAATGCCACTTGGATTACTTTGGAAGAACTTCGTGACTTTGCACTAGACTTATTGGACCAATACCTTGCAGATCATTCTCCAGGGTCAAGTTGTTTTCCACCAGGGAAGAATGATGGAGAACCATCGAGTTTTACAAAGAATTTTAGAAAAATTTATTCCAGACAAAGATATCAACAAAAAATCATCAATTAGTTGGCCTAGAAATTCTAAAAGTTGTGTTGAAAATTGAAAGGTTTATTGGTCTTTCTAGGGATTTATTTTGTATTAAGTACACTCATTTACTATTTAGGTATCATATAAGTCATATTTTAGATTTCTAAAAGGCATGCTAATTCCTTAGGAGATTATTCTTGTGAATTATTATCTTCATTAATTGTACTAAGGCTCCTAAACCCCTATAAATAGTTGAGCTTGTTAATGGATCAAGCACTTCAGATTTGAATGAAAAAAGGTTTACATCTTTTCTCTCCTAGTCTCTTACACTCCTCTCGCTCTCTTGCTTTCTCTCAACTTCTCTCTTCTCTCTACTTTGTTTTACATCATATTCATATCTTATCAACGATGAATGAGACATCATTTATGGATCTCCATATACCAATCTTTTTATGATCTCTATGGTATGGTTTTTAAATAGATGAGCTATTAGTAGTTTATGACTTCAAATTCATCAAAAATACAGTCACAATTGCTAAACCAGTCTGAGTTTTGCTGTGATCTTGTGATCAAATGTCAGTGATTTTCTTTTGTAGGGCTTGGACTTGCCTGCTTTTCAGAATCCTTAAAAGATGCAACATTCCAATGGTCGCAATTGGCACAGTAAGTTTACTCGTCAGGTGTTTGTTTATCATCGACAGTATTGGTTACTAAATCTGGTCAATTACAGTTTCCTACTGGCCTGGCATTACTAATTGAGAAAAAGACTAGAAGGATCGAGATATCTTTGTATTGTCTAGCCCGAGCAATCGAGAGCTTCTTCACATGCTTGGCTGATGCCGGACTGTTACCTCAAGCATCGAAGTTTAAGCGAGCTGATGTGGCCGTATTCAGTTTAGCCACAGCCATTATCATGCACTGCTATGCACAAGAAAGAGAGGTGTTCCGATCAAAGTACTTGAATGTGCTCGACTGGGTCTTTGGTGTGCCCCTATCACCTGACAACGAACATGTCAAGAAGTCATAAAAGATTTGGATCTGGTAATCTAACAGGATACAACACAGACGTCAATGTGTTGATGTAAATTAGTTTTGGTTCAAATAGATGGACCAGTATAGTTCACAGAAGATAAAGAGTATGACCGGCTTCATTTTCTCAATCAATTTTGCCAAGTTTTGAGCCTGCTAAAAAGCTAAAAGATCTGGTTCTTTTCAGCTGCTGTAAAGGAGGCAGAGTTTCAAGCTCATCTTGCAGCCTTACAGGTAATGAAGGGATTACACCATAAATCTACTCTCTCCAGAAGAATGTTACTGAGCCTGTACTTGTATTTTAAGTTTCTTTGTCGCTGAAAGGAACTACTATTGCTATGGCAGTGTGGTACAGTTTTTTAGACTGCTAGGTTTTTTCTTTAGCAGAATAAGATTTGTCTGCAATTCGATTCATTTAAACCATTGTATCACATCTATTATATTATTTTGATTACTTCTATTGATTTGTCTGTTTGATCAATCTTGTTTTGATGTTCATGAAAAACTGTGATATAGCTTTTCCATATATTGATCTAGCTGGAAAGGCAGTGATTAGCAAGTAATATTTTTCACCCCAAGCTTTCATCTCATGGCTGAATCACTTGTCGAGGTTGTAATGCTGTATTTTAGAATTAGATAAGAGTTGTGTTTCCTCAACTCATCACTTGCAATGGTTGACATTTAAAGAAACAAAGGTAAAAGCATCTGTTTCTTTTGTTCTTCCAGGTTGCACTTCAAGCTTGACCAATCATGTTGAAGAACTTGTTCACATTGTTCACAGGTCAGTCAAATCTTCTAACAAATGTTACAAACTAGAGTTAAGATTCATGCTCTGTACGGTTTTCTAGCACCAGTTGCAAATCTTTGTCATAAGGATCTTCAAAAGCAATGGGTGAACTCAAAGGAAAGCTTTGTCACAATTTTCTCCAGATTAGTGCATATTTCTTGACCCAAGCTATAAAGATCCCTTTAGGTATTCCTCATAAGATAGGTAAGAGAACGTAATCTTCTCCGAAGCATCGCTCCATCAATCGTCTCTTTGAGATTCATGCTGACATATCGATTAGTCTTTCCTCGTACGAAAGGTGCGAACACCTCGAAGCATCTCTTTTGTCAATCGTGTCGCTTCAAGATTCATATTGATATATCCATCGTTGAAGTATGATATAATTCGGAATATGAATTCACCATTTTTTTGAGCAATAATTCCCTCAATTACCTTTCTACATATCTCGTATCAAAACTGAAGTTAAGGGGCTTTAGGGAAACAATAGCATTTTTTTTGGAAAATAATAACATTATAATCAAAGACATATTAGAACAAAGCCTTTCACCTGTATTTTCCACTGCCAGTCCATAATTACTCCCATCATCACCGGATAGACGAACCCTCAAAATCCCTAAATTCTATAACCCAACAGAAAAGAAAGAAGACGAACAAAGGCGGAAACTTGAATCTGACCTCGTCTTGGACGATGCCCCTCTTGTCGGTGAATCGGTGGCAGACGAGGGCGCTCTCCTCGACTTGGATCCCGAGCTGCGCGCGGCTGAAGCGGCGGAGGAAGTCCCCGGAGTCCAGCTTCCTGGCCCCCGCGAGGGCCTTCCACTCGATCCTGGAGAGGATGTGGCGGAGGAAGTCGGCGTCGAGCTCAACCTCGTCCTTAGATATATATGAGATGATGCAGTTCCCGTTCAATCACTGATGGACGTTACGATATTTCTGCTCACAGTCGATGGTAAGAGGTTAGGTGCTCAAATACCCTCGAGAATGGAGTGGAGTGCAGTCCAATCCCGTGGAAGCTTACCCAAGTAGCATCACGAGGTTGCTTTTCTTGTAGAAGTCAAGCTTTTTGGAGAGTAATTTGCACTTGTTAGCACTCTACCAAATAGGTCAACACTGTTTAACTGGTTAAAGGCATCCCACCTTTCTCCTTTGGCAGACAGCTCTGCTCCTCCAAGCTCATCTCTTCGATGACCACCTCTCCTTTTGAATCCATAACTGTTGCCCTGTTTAGTTCTTTGCTAAGCTAATGCAAATTCTTAACTCTTCTTCTTCTTCTAAACATCACGGATCACAAGACAACAAGACAAAGGCCCCCTTGTTAGTGTTGGGAAAGTAAAGTAAATACAGATAATGGAACAAGATCATGTTCTTGGTATCAGTTACACAAGGAAAGTTTTCCTTTTTTCCTTTTGTTTAGAAGAAAAATAAGCAGAGTACACTTGTTTCTGCATGAATAATTAGAGGATTTTTTTTACATTACTTTTGATAATTTCTTGATTCTAATATTATTCTCACTTTAGAGCATCAGCTTAAGGACTTTTGACTCTGTAAAGAATGATCTTGTCTATCACACTCTTCTACCCTTTTCCAGTGGACCATGTGTAATCATTCCCTTTGGTGGTGCTCTAAAGCACCACCTTTGTTTCTTTTTGTTCTACAACATTTTGCTAACATGTTATCCTTTTTAATCTAATGATGACTGTTCTTTCTTTTGTTGTATGCAGATTTAAATTCCATCTCTCTAAAGGTGACAAACAATCACCCTTACAAGTGGTAGGGACATGTGTTCACATCAAGCTAGTCCCTTTGGCAACTCAATTTGTTCTGGTTTTTCCTACTCCACTCTCCACTAATGCTACCTTTGTGTCTTTTTCTCTTACATTATATTCCTTTCTGTCGCTTCCTTTTCCATTCTTTTGTTTCAACAGGATTATTATAGGATCAGGCCATGTTGCTCATAGGTGATTTTTCCCTTGAATTACACACAAGCTTCTGTTTTGGCAACTCCAAAGGTGATGATTTCAGCTTAATCTTCCAAAGAGGTAAATGTGGATTTCCTGTATATGGCATAAGTGCACTATATGTTATCACTTCTTCTCGTGCATTTTGACAACCTAAATCCTTGATCTGATTAGGTTAGAGTTGATACTTGTTGGATCACCAAAAGTACTACCCAAGTGTCAGTGTCAGCATCATCCTTCAACCTCTCCGCCGACGAAGGTGCGTCCTTCTTCTCAAACAGTGCATGTATGTAGTTGGCGCACATTAAATCCGTCACTGTATCGTGATGGAGAGAGAGATCGTCTTCACACTGTAGCAGCACTTCCATGCCTGTGCGACATTAATTGTCTGCCCGGTCAAACTGCTGCGGTATCAGGGTTCTCTCAGGGTTCAGGTTTTGTTGGCAATCCATCGGTCGGCGATGGGGATCCGTCGTCTGGTGTGGTTGAAAAATCCTGAACCCTGCCTCGGCCGGCGCAGGAAGTGAGGTCAAATGCTTCCCCTTGGATTTTAATGGGTGCAAGGGGCGGGGGGACCGCCGTGGTCGGTCTGCCGCTGCAACTCACGAGAGCACTTGGTCAACTTTTCTTTTGGAATCTAAGCAGCAGCCGATTGGCACAACATGGGAGGTCTCAACGTGGGGCAGTCAAGTCAAATCGGGTCAACCACTTCCTTTGTCTTTGGTGCCCACACCTGCGCCGAAAGGACTGTGTGGATGCGTTGGGGAGGACGACGGTAGGCAGCGGGCAGTTCCCAATAAATTCCACTCTTCGCTGTCCCATCACCTCACGGGGGTCAATACTTGCATGTGTGTCGTGCCGTACCGGGAGCCAGCAAAGTCAACAGATGGGAGCCTGTCGCTGTGGCCCCGCCCCTCCTCCTCTTGCTATTTCACAATCGGCGCTTTGGTCGCTTCTCTCGTCTTCCCCAAATCGATTCTTTTTTGCTTCAAGAGGGACATAAAGATCCGATCTTTGCGCTCGTCGTCGCCACCAAATCTTGGATAAAGGTTTGATCTTGGCGGACGATTTCGCGGAATCGGTGGGGGTTCTCTTTTGGGATCGAGGGTTTTAGCGGTGTGACCGTCTTCGAAATCGCATACTGCGGGATTGGTATGGATGAGCACTTCAGGATTTAGCTGGTGGGAGTATATCTGGGGATTCTTATGGACAAGTTATGCTGCTTCAGTGGTTCCTGCTCTCAGGTGAGAGATCGCTTGACGTAGATTGTTTTTCTTATGCCTTGTTTATGGTATATGGATTCTTGATATGTTGGGCATTGGAAATTTCTAGTTTTAGATTGATCGGAGTTCCATTTCTGTTTCCTTTTCTATCAGTCTTTGACCGGTGGAGTGGGGAAATTAAAGAACAGTTGAGCCCTCTGGTTTTTCTTTTCCATGTCCATAATGTTTCCATCAGCACTGTCTCATATTAGGAATTAATTTCCTTTTGGGACTTGATCAATTTCATTACCTTGTTCAAATAACAGTTCTTCTGTTCTTTATAGGAAGTCCACCCTCGGTTAGTGATTACTCTTTTAGGAACTCACTACATTATCAAACGCTAAGGAAATTTAGAAATATATTTGGAAGAATTGACTATAGTTTTTCGTTTTGCAGCAAAGATACCCTTGAAAATACGAAGGACAAGAATGTTTGGACTTGAAGAACATTCTTACCAGAAAAAAAGAATTTCCTCAATAATTTGTAAGATTTAAAAAGCTATGGGTGTAGCTGCATTACTTGTTTGGCGAGCTAACAAGAATCTGTTCAGATGCCAACCATCGTATAGGATCAATTCCTAGAGTTAAGTAACTACAGGCGGAACTGAAAGTTCAGTAGACTCAAAAGTATAGAATATGTGCATTGAGCCGTCTGATCGGTCATACACTCCGGTTAAAAGTTGAAAGGCCATACGAGAGAGACCCATGACCACTAAGCCTGATGCCAGACTGCAGAAAATAGTTGGTGGTGTCAACCCGATGACAATTCAGCATCTAACACTACTGCCAATCTTTTGGCGAGGAAAATTTCGGCTGATTTGGAGCTGCCACAGACTTAAATGTGTAGTTTTTAGATAAAGAGTTTTTGATGTTTTCTGCATTCAATCTCATGCAGTCAAGGTGCATTCAAACTAAATTTTACTCACAATTTTTACTCATGCCATCAAAGTGACAGGTTTTGCTATGAGAAGCTAATTTTTTCTACGGCTCAAATGAGCAAGGGAGCCACTAAAGCAAACCTGAACCAGAGTCAGATATAGAGAAAGTACTGGCATGCACGAGAAAGATATCAGTACAATGAGATATGCCTATGCAAGCTTTTTGGCTTGTTTAACTCAAAAGATTTATTTGTAAAATTTCATTTTTGTGTCATCCGACATATGGAAAACGATATTCTAGTTTTTTTTCTAAGGCTCAAATAAGCAAGGAAGCAACTCAACATAATCTGAACTAGAATCAGATATGGAAAAGGGGGCAACTAAGTCCAGTTACTTTTTAGTTCTTTGGATTGTGGTTCCCTTATAGGAGTCATCTGCTCTTGAATAGCATCTTTATACACTAAATGATTTGAAGTAGATACATAATCAGTGCTCTATAAGGATTATGTTCATGCTGTTTTTTTCTATTATTAGAAACTATCTTCAATTTTGTGAAATTAAACTCAGAGTGTTGCACATATTACCTCTGAGGTTATTCATATTTACATGATAGAATGCTTCTGTTACAATTCTAGTTACCAGTCTCTGGAGATTATCATCTTTCATCTTATGTTAGCTCCCATAGACTCGGAAATTTCAGTGCCATCCACCTCATCACGTCATTAGGTTGAAAATTGCTGCGATATAGCTTGCAGGTCATTCTTCAAATGATGCTGGTAAAGGAAAAAGTTCTCTGAGTGGTGTAAAAATTACTTATGGTTTTAGTCTTGTAAAGGGGAGGGCTAATCATCCAATGGAAGATTATCATGTTGCAAAGTTCATCCAGATAAGGGGGCAGGAGCTTGGTCTCTTTGCTATATTTGATGGTCATTTGGGTGATGATGTACCTGCCTATTTACAGAAGCATCTGTTTACTAACATTCTTAAAGAGGTGTGATATGACTTTTTTTTTATTTTCCTTTTCTATGTTTTCTATGATAAAATATCAACTTTTAATTATTTTTTTCATGAAAACAAGCAACTACTAGCGAGTAAATTATCTAAATCTATTTTTCTTTCATGATTTAGGAAGATTTTTGGAATGATCCAGGAGGAGCAATTTTCAAAGCCTATGGAAAGACTGACAAGGCAATTTTGTCACAAAGTCCCGATCTAGGACAAGGTGGATCGACAGCTGTTACTGCAATTCTCATGAATGGAAGGAGATTGTGGATTGCTAACATTGGTGATTCACGAGCTGTTCTTGCAAAAGGTAGAGAGGTTATACAATTGACTGTTGATCATGAACCCAGCACTGAACGTGGAAGTATCGAGAATAGAGGTGGATTTGTCTCGAACATGCCAGGTTTGTACATTGTCCTCAAGAAGTCTCATACATGCATCCTTTTCTCTTCAAGCCAACTCCCTACAATTTCAACTTTCGATTGCATCTAACTTTATTTACATCTTAGCAACCAGAATGGCTATGAATGAGTAGCTTCTTGCAACTATAAATATTCTGAAAACAATTTACGCCAAGTTCAAAGGAAATTGCAAAACCTAATGAATATTTCAACTTGATGAATATAAGGTTTCATGTTGCTACACATGTTCCCTACTTAAGAGCTTATACTTAATCTTCTTACATTTGAAACATGAAAGATGAAACCTTGTTCGTACTATGCATCACTTCTTATCTGAAACCTTGTCTTATTGGCTTTGCCTCTAAAAAGTTGGTACTTTGGGGATAGCAAATGCTTCTATATCATCTTATAGTTTATCTTTCATCCGACATGAGAAATTTGGCTATATTTAGCATCTTTGTGAGACATTAATACATAATTAGGATCTCAGGCATGTTATCTGTGATTTTTTTTTTGTTGAAAAATTGGGCTTTTACTTATTTTATATGAAACATTCAATCAAATATGCTCGACGCACAACACAGCATACACCAATTATTTGAGGGTTAAATACACTCACTTATCAAAGGTTGAGGTTTTAAATCTCATCCGACATATTTGAAGGTTGAGATTCGAAATCTCATATGACATATTTGTCAGCTAGCTTAAGCTTTGACGGTGGACAGTAAAGTCTTTAGATCAAGTTTCATCTTCACCCCTTATCCTTTGCCCAAAAAAGAAAGAAGGTAAACATGTAATATATTCTTCATGATGTTATCATTTGTATCTGAAACAAGGATCCATATCAGTTGAGACAAATGCTGATTGTTATAATATTATGATATCAGGAGACGTTCCCAGAGTTAATGGTCAATTGGCTGTTTCCCGTGCTTTTGGAGACAAGAGCCTCAAATCCCATTTGAGCTCAGATCCCGATATACGCTTTGAAGATGTGACTGCTGATTGTGATCTACTCATCCTTGCAAGTGATGGCCTGTGGAAGGTTTGCATCTTAGGCCTTTTAAGCCAGTAATCGAGTACTCCCTTATGTATTAATTAGCTGACCAACATCCAAATACATGGATTTTACCGATCCTGTTTAGGTCATGGGCAATGAAGATGCAGTCGATATTGCTAGAAAGGCTAAGGATCCACAAGCAGCAGCTAGGCTTTTGACAGCTGAAGCAGTGAATAAAGCTAGCAAAGATGACATCTCTTGCATTGTTGTCCAACTAAGGGCACAGAGGTGTGATGGTTATGGACGACCTTGAGGAAGTCATCAATAGACACATGCAGGATGGCATAAACCTCGAGCTGGATGTGCGCAATGGTGCAGTCTGTCATTGCCTACCAGATGGTAGGAACTAAATTAGATCTCTTGTGCGGTTCGATTCTTCTGTAAATTGCTTCTTCCTTCATTAGGGTTTGGCGAGTGTGGTATTGTTTGATTTCTTCGGCACATTAGTTAATGAAAGTTTCTCTATGTGTTTGTTGGCACGGAAACTGAGTTCTCAAGATTGGTTAGATGGCTTTGCCTTCTATTTCTTGGCTACTTGTTAACACTGGAAGCTGGATCATGCTTTGCCTTTTCGTTATATGCTTAAAAATGATTGAATTTTCTATTCTAATTTAGTGGATCCTTTTTCTATTCATTCAAGATGCCAAGAAGAGGCAGCTGTGTAATTTGACCTGTTGAATTGATATCTTGGTTGTCACCAGAATCAGTGTGTTCATTGTTGTGCCAATGAAATGCAGCTAAAGAACAATGAATCTAGTTTATTGCAGATATCAAATTCTTATGGCTTGTTACTAGAAAGAAATATAGCTATGAGAATGTGGGAAAGCTAAGTGATGTAATTTTTTTATTTAAACAGCATAAATATAACATAAATGTATGTAATCCAAATAGGCATCATGCAGCATCCCATTTTGAATTGATTTATAAGTATTTGATAGGTGTATTACTACTGATTTGTGCTTAAATATTTTGGATCATGTGGTTCTAGTCCTGTCAAGTTAACATGTCAGTTGTCTGACAAAATCTCTTGTAGCCATAAAATTACATGCATATTACAGAATCTCTCTTCCAACCTCAAAGAATTCTTTGCATGAGAAGATCTGCTCTTCTTATTTTTTATAAAAGAATGAATAAATAAATCAACAAACATAAGAATGCATCTGATATTTCCCTTTTTCTTTTCAAAGTTGGCAGGCCTTAGTAGGACTGAGACAAATTGCAGATACAGATGGATCAGCCCTCCAAAGAGGAATTGGTCAACAAGGTATGGTTGCCACTGAGGCTCCACATCAACTTGCATTTTAGTTGGCTTACCACAGGATGTTTCATAGACTTGGCAGGTTATTCTGGTAATTCTCCTGCTAGGAGGATATTAAAGTCTTCCATCTGATGTTGCTATTTAAAGAACAGCAGTTTGACCCTAAATTTGAACTGAAAGAGACAGAAAGGGTTCCAAATTCGGAGGATTAAAAGGAATCTCATGAAGAACAGAAGATAATAAAAAAGAAAAAGAAAAATCATCGAATAGTTAATTAGTGATGGCAAGCACATGGAAGTGTTCACCATTCCTCGTGACAATTTAATGGATATGATTGGTCAACATAGGGTGGTTCCTCCTCTGAGGAACTTGTTGCCAGATGGTGTGGAAGTTTCCTGCTGAGCAAGCAGAAACAAGTCAAAGTTGTAATCTGCCTAAACTTTGAGCTGGTAAGGATACTGATGCAGACTTTGGCTGCTCACTTGAAATGGAATGTAGTTTGGGCGTCATCTTTCCTGCCCTTTTCTTCCCCAAAAGAGTCAAAGGAAGTGACTCTTTGGCTGCTGCAGGTTGTCAGTCATATAATATATATATGACTAGTTAGGTCTATAAATAAAATATACAATAGTTAGGTCTATAAATAAAACAAAAAATAAAAATAAATATTCAAAATAAGTAAGTAAGGAGACAGAAAAGTCTAAGATTGTCATCAGTCCAACTCTTCATGCTTTTCATGTGTCTATACATGTAGTGTGCAGAGAGAGAGGTCGAGCAAAACGATGAAGGAGGAATGTTCAGAAATTTGATGCCGGCGGAGGAAGATAAAAAACATGGTGTTATTGAGTCGTCCAACGAGAAGATTAATTAGGTAACCGAAATAGTTGACTTCATTTCTTGATATAAAAATCTAAAGAATTGGTAGTGAAATTGATCAATTTAATCTTTCTCTCTTTTTTGTTTATTCGTCATATTCTTCATAAATAAAATTATTCCTAACCCTGTCAATTGTAGTTAATGAAAATAATTTATATCATTTAACCCATATATATATATATATATATATATATATATATATATATATATATATATATTCCATATAAATGTGTCATTTCATATTTATGGAGCCTTTATTTATCTACTTTTTTTTGTGACATTGGTGTTGCTAATGTGCTAATAGCTTGATATCTAATTTATACAAATAGGAAAAAAAAAAACTTAGTAGCTGTTTCCTTCGTCCTCAAGTACTTTTCTCACACTCAATTACGCTCAAAATAAGGAAGGTCATAAAATTTAAATAATCTCTATAAAAAAATATAATTCGCAAAAAAAAAATTCAATATGACACATCATATCGTATATATTAAGTGGCGTAAAATAATTTTTCGCTTTCTCTGTGTGTCGTTTGTGTTCGATTAGTAATGTTTAATTTTTCTGATACTTCTTGTCCAAACAATTATATCTCTTGTATCTTTTTTTTTCTATGCGAATAATATCTCTTGCGTCTCATGCGCCCTATATAGATAATAAATATTATTTGATTATTTTCTCATACAGGTAATGGATAAAGGTCAAACTTATCTCACATCATTTTTATTTTCTTCAATAAATAGTATGAATATGTAGATGCCTAAAAACTTTCAAACCATATTTTAGTCATATGAACTAAAATGAATTATTTATATCCATTTCAAGTATTTATTATTTAAATTAAATATTTAATAGTTTAAAAAGTCTTCTACAAATTTAATAAGTTATCTATTATGAAAAATTAAAATATATATATATATATATATATATATATATATATATTCCAAAAAGAAAATTATTTGGGAAGAAGAAGAACGTGAAAGATTATTAGGCAGCCATCAGCGATCTTTTACTCCCTTCCACACATCGCCACCCACCTTCTGCTCTCTCTCTTCCAAAGATCTGTGTCCATAGAACAAACCGACTCACACAAAGATCAATGACTCACACAATATGATAGCAAAGATCCTCCCTACTTGAAGAACACAACAAGAACAGAGGAAGATGGAGTCCAAAGCAGAGAGAGAGAGAGAGAGAGAGAGTTTGGGTAAAAGGAGATGCATGCTGAGATCCAAATGCTGCAGCAGCAGCCAAAGGAGACAGAGAGAGAGAGAGAGAAAGGAGATGCACGATGAGATCCAAATGCTGCTGCAGCAGCAGCCAAAGGAGACAGAGAGAGAGAGAGAGTAGATTCCCGGAAGAAGGCAACTGAGAATTCTCTCTCTATCAGAGCCACCATTTCCTAAACAGCCGCAGCTTCCTCGAGATTGTCAACCTTGAAACAGAATACTTTGACAGCTGTAAGATCGTAATGTGATAGATTCCAAATAATCTAAATATTTATCACATTATTATTATTATTATTATTATTATTGTTATTATTGTTGTTGTTGTTGATGATGATGAGGAATGTGACCGCAGTATAATTGTATTCGTGTAGGAATTGGGCCAAATTTACTGAGACGTATATAAGCTCGACCAGAGTCAGTCCGGTTCACAAGGGGTAAGTCCGTGGAGCCACCGACTCAACCTCACACGTTTCCTGCGCGTCTACAGCTTCCGCAGCCAGCGGCGGCACTTGGCCGCCCACCCGCCCGCCCGCCTATATCTATCCGCTGCCACCACGTTCCCATCGACCCAAACCCTTCTCTCCCAAGCGCCACTGCTGCCGCTCTCCCCCCTTCGTCCCCAAGCTTCCTCCTCTCTCTGATCTCTCTACGGCGGAGTTCTCGGTGGCTTCCTCAGGTACCATCTTTTCCCCCGCGGAAACCATTTGAAACATTGTCTTCTTCGGGTTTCTCCTGATTCCAGTAGTTTGAGTCGGTGCGGAGGGGTAGGAAAGGCTAAAGGTGGGGATTCTTACGAGTTATGGTGGTTCCACTTCTTTGTTGTCCTCTGTTTCAGAGTAGAAACGAAAGGAGGTTGGATTCTTTCTTCTTTGATTCCCGGTTGTCGTGATCTTTCTTTCAAGAAAGACTTCTTTTATCGAGTTCTGTTCGTGGCGAAGGCATCAGAAAGGAAGGCGTTTGTTCCTCGTTCCGTGTCATTTCGGGATTAGAGAAAGAAACGATTTTTATTTACATTGGATTCTGGATCGATACTTTGTTTGTTTTATCGGAATCTATTCTTATTCGAAATAGTACAACCATCTTTTGTGCTCATTCATCGCTTTGGTTTTCGTAATATTGGGGAAACAATACGTTGCAGTAGGTAAATAGTGATCCTTCTGATAGTTTTGGATCGGTAGGGGAAACAAATCTTCCTTTTCTAGGGTTTTCTTGTGTTCAGATCCCTCTTTCTTCCCCTGAACTCTTTACCCGATCGAACGGGAGAATCTTTTTTGTCTTCTCTGTAACTTCTTGTTGGTGCCACATCTCTGGTTGTGTTGTTGTCTCCTCTGGACCTGGAAAGGAACCATGGGAGAAGCACAAGTTGCGTTTTTTTCCTCTATTGGATTGTATGCTGTTTGGGCTCTACGAGATCTAACTTTCTGCTTTCCATTACATCTCAGGGTTGTCATCAACCATTGAGGGATTCGAAACGGACCACAACTGACATCGAAGGTGTTCTTAGATCACTCTGGCCGTCCCTGAGGTACCATCTCCTTGCACCTTGAGAAAGGTGTGGGATCAGGAGGATGCGCTCTTGCCTCTCTGCTCGACTCCAATCTCCACTGTTCTACTTGTTGGCCTTCTTTGTCGCGTGCTGAAAGGATCTCCTTTCGACAACGGCTAATCCCTGCGATAGAGAACATCTTCATGTAGCTTTGTGCGGAAGGTCTTTGCTGGCTACTATAAGTTTTGGTAGCCGGTCTGGCAACTGCAAGGGAATTTTATTAGGATTGTCTGACTTTGTGGTCTTCTGAGATCAATTCAGTATCGAGAAAGATGGCAAAAATCAGTTGCTTCTCTTTTCTTTTTGCTACAAAGAAGAAGTCGAAGGTAAGAGTCACGTTTTCGGGCTTTTGTTTTCGATTCTCTACTCTTCTAATTGATGCTGACTATACCTATTGACTACCATTGCTCCTAGGAGTCGTTCACGGTTGCTAAAAATCTCAATGGCAATGGGGACCTAAGAGTTAATCCTGAGGAATTTGATGACCGATCCACCGAGAATGCTGTAACAGAAGTAACTCCGGGAGAAAGCTTTGCAAAGAATGCAAAAGTGGCGGTGGATGACAAATCAGTGCTAACTGAGGCATCATATGAGGGAAGTGATGAGCATGATGAGGATTTATCTATGAAGAGAGACTTCTCTGACTTTGATCTCCAAGCCTTAGCAGTGGAGAAAGACGACATCGGTTCCAAAGGTTGGGATCAAGAATTGTTCAATGATGGGTTGGAGGACAAGTTGGAGAAATTTGATGTGATCACTCCGGAAGTGAGCATACACAATGGGCATGTTAGTGATCCCGGAATGGGGCAGAAGTCAATGTTCTGGGGATCACCTGTGCTGAAGCGCTCATGCTCAAACATTGAGACCATGAGAGTTGGTAAATTGACTAGGTCGCCTACCAAGTCCAATTCCTCCGACGAGGTCTATAACACATGGGGTAATCTTGGTGGTGAAGCAACCGATGACATTCCTGGCAGCCCATTGTCAGTAATGACCTCAGTCAGCGCAGACAAGGCTTTGCTAAATAAGAGATCTTCGTGCCAAGTGCTTCCATCGAGGAGTACGAAACTTTGGTGGAAGCTTTTTCTCTTTAGCCATAGGAATTGTCACAAGCCTTGGGTTTCAGTGCCACAGAAGATTGCCATCGATGATACATCGAAAAACAATGTTGGTTATTGCTCAGATACACTTAAACCAAACCCTTGTTTTCAGACGAAGAACGAGTCAGACATGGAGCGACCAGAGATTATAAGTAACGCTGACTTGTGGCCTCAGAATCAGTGGATTGCTTTTTCTGCAGAATCTTCCTTGTTAGATAGAGTTAATGCTTGGGTTCACAGTCTCGAGGGTAGTCCATTCTGCCCAACCGACAATGGTGAAGCAGCAGAAGAGGTAGTGTCATATGCAACTTGTCATGAGACTGGGGAAACCTCAGGAACAAAGCAATCTCACAATGTCCGGCATGCAGTTGGGAAGGTTATACAGACCAACAACATTATCCAATCACTATGTTCCTTTTCCCCTGTGGCTCACATCGCCGGTCTGGGCTTGAGAGTTATACCAGCAATTTCGGCTTTCAACAGTCTCCGGTCTGTTAATTTATCTGGAAACTCAATAGGTATGAACCAACATCCTTGGTACTCAATTGGAATATGATTTCTTATATGATGACTGCCCCTTAAACTTATCTATGCACATGGCCTATTGCTTTTGCTGCAGTTCACATTTCTTCAGGATCGCTCCCTAAGAATCTTCATACACTCGATTTGTCTAAGAACAAGATCGCAATAATTGAGGGACTCAGAGAACTAATGAGGCTGCGAGTTCTTAATCTCAGCTACAACAGAATCTCACGCATTGGCCATGGTAAGCAATACCTATCCTTGTTGCTTTAGTTGTTGAACATGCTTCCAGCATTCTTAATAGCTACGGTAGTGTTGATTTGGCATCATGTTAGTTTCCACGAGGAAAGCACTTCTATCTAACCAAACAAATATGCATTTCGGGTCATCTATTGTTGGAAGGAATAATTCAAGTCACTTCAGGTGGATCCATAATTGGAAGTAAATAATACCAAGGAGATTTGAAGTGTTAATTGTTCACTTGTATCATTCAGAAGTTGGTATCCCTTTTTTTCAGTGAGAATTATTTATGATTTTTAGATCATAGATTTCATGACAATAATGTCCTCTGAAGTAAATGATTGATTTGTTTAGCTATGGAGATCCAATTGATAAAGTAACTTCGTTGTGATCGAGTATATCTGTGGACAATCTGCAAATCCTATTTCTAGGCAATGTGACTTGAATTACTGAACTGCTGAAAAGTATTAGATTAATGTGGCTTCCAAAATCATATGGATTTTCAACTTGATATTGTTGTTGAAAGCATGATGATTACAAAAAGTGATGACGCATAAATATTACAGGACTGTCAAATTGCACTCTCATCAAAGAGCTGTATGTAGCCGGGAATAGGATCAGCTACGTCGAGGGGCTCCACAGGCTCCTGAAGCTCACAGTTCTTGACTTGAGCTTCAACAAGATAATTACAACAAAGGCCTTGGGGCAGCTCGTCGCCAACTACAAATCCCTCTTGGCTCTTAACCTGCTTGGGAACCCAATTCAGAGCAACAATGGTGAAGAGCAGCTTCGAAAAGCCATCAGCAGCTTCCTGCCTCAGCTTATCTATCTGAACAAGCAGTCCATCAAGTCCCAGAGGGGAAGGGAGGCGGCCACCGACAGCGTTGCCAAGGCTGCACTAGGGAACAATGGGTGGAGCTCGCGACGAAAGCTAACAAGACGAGTAAGCCAGTTGCCAATCTCTTCAGCCAGGAGCAGGACTGGGGAGGGAAGCAGCCACCGGGGAGTGGGTAGCGGTGGCAGCGAACAGAAGAGAAGCAGACAGAGATCAAAGAGCCGTCAGCACTCAATCTCTACAAAGAAATAGGGGTGTTAAGTAGAAGATTATCTGAATTCAGTTTGTCTGATGAGGTGATATGATTCAACTTTCCATCAAGATCGGGTTATAGGATGTACTAAGTTTGAGATCATTTTAGGATATGTGGGTAATTTAAGACAATCGGCTGAGAGCATCAGCAGAAATAAGTGGTTGATTGATTAGAAACCTTAAGATGGATTACCTGATCTCTTCTGTTTTCTCATTGTCTGTGTCGTGATCAAGTCTGAGCAAAGTCTTCTCTTTCGTGAGATGATTGAGAGATTCATCGACCACCTCATACCAATGGAATCAGGTTTGGCTCATCTGTGTCGATGGAATCCAAAGACTTGCATCTCTCCAGAACCGAGTTGATGATCGACCCTGTCATACTTAGGTTCACTAGTTTGCCGAAGAAATTAGTGGCTCTAGATCTAATAAAACATTTATTTATATTTTCGTTCTTCATCTACTTCTGTTTTGCCTTATTCCTATCTTCGTTCCAATCTTCTCATTCGTGAGATGATTGAGAGATTCATCGACCACCTCATACCAATGGAATCAGGTTTGGCTCATCTGTGTCGATGGAATCCAAAGACTTGCATATCTCCATAACCTAGTTGATGATCGACCCTGTCATACTTAGTTTCACTAGTTTGCCGAAGAAATTAGTGGCTCTAGATCTAATACAACATTTATTTATAATTTCGTTCCTCATCTACTTCTGATTTGCCTTATTCCTTTTTCGTACCAATCTCTTCAGCTCTTGTTCTTGTTCTTTTCCAGTTTTATTCTTCTCATCCTTTTCGAACCAACTGGGTTATTTAGTCCTGGCTGATTTTTTATGCAACCGACCTTATACCAGAACCGGACCGGTTGATGATTTATGTATAGTTTCCATCGCAATACTCGTTGATTATACTCTGTTAATACGTGAGAAATAATCCATGAACCCCTCGAGTAGAAAAGCATGGTTGGACGTAGTGTGTTCTTCTTTCTATCCTTGGACAAATCCAAGATGCGCCTGGTTAACGATGCAGACTTCAAAGCCTCACTGCTGGACTTCTCCTTTCGCCCTCTTGTTGTCAAGATACTCGAATCATGACATCAACCCACGAGCCGGCACAGGAAGCATGCACTCACGGACACTAGAGACGTGACATAGGCGTGAGTAATCATGATTCCATACTGCAGTGGAAACATGTATAAAAGCAAAACACCAACCCCGCCATCTCAAGTAACCCTCAAGCCGTATGACTAATCCAAAGGCTCAGCGGTTGGGGACAGTCATCGAAAGCAGCACATGTTATCCATCATAAAGCAAACTGGCAGCAGGAAGGTAAAATATAGCCAGCAATCAAGCTATAAAAAGTGAGAGTGACAATGGAAATCTCTTGATGCTTTGGTCTCGGGTGTATAGGTAGGATTTTCTTTTTCACCCATTAAATTCCAAACTGCAACAAACCTCAGCGATGTTCCCATAACGGTTGCACCAATGACATACTAGCTAATAAGGCTCGCAACTGATCAGTAATAAGGCCTAAAGCGCATTGGCCTTCTGAATCTAGGCACCTTCCTGTAAAGACATTCAACAAGTTCAGCCATTAGTTTATACATATGTCAAGTCTTTGGAAGAACCTCTGTAGCAATAAAGAATGCAGGCAAAGAGGAAAAATGGAGCACCAACCCAAATCCATAAGGGGAGGCAAAGTATGGTGGCATGTAGGGCCTCCTATATGGGTATCCCATGTAGGGATTAAACCGCCTTGGATGGAATTGCTTCATTCCTGGAACATTAGTACGTTTAGCAGCAACCTGCAAAGAGGCATCCCTTTCATTACAAAAAAAAAAAGAAAAAAAGATATGAATCTTGATTATTTTCACTTCGAAAAGTAGAAATTAAAAAAAAATAGATTTGAGTCTAAACAGACTTTGATTTGGCGACCATGCAGTTCGGATTCATTCAACTGAAGAGCATCCTGAACAGCCTCGAGCTCCAGAAATTCAACATAGGCAAAACCCTTCGGCTGACCAAATTTGTCTGTCAGGATGGTAACCCTATTAACCGTCCCACATGATTGGAAATGCTGCTGTACTTCTTCGGGTGTGCAAGCATAATCCACCTGCAGTTTGATACCATTCATTGCTTATAACAATGTGGAGAGAAAAAGACTTGATCCTCATCGAAACCACTATTCTCATGATAAATAACCAAAACAATAAGAACATGAAACTTCTTCGTGTATCTAAACTTCAAAATAATAAAAACAATAAAGTTCTACCAAAGCTTCAAATATGAGGTGTTCTCCATATAACCGTTAACCAGAGTACTTTAAAAAGCAGGCCATTTTGCACTCATAAACAGATATTACAGTCATTATTTCTTTAGTCAAGTTTTGATTGATATATACAGGAAATTCAAGGATTAACTAAGGTAGTCTCAAGATGGTAATCTACTCTCATAAAAGATTACCTCAGCATGTCCACTTATACATCCACAGTCTCAAATAAAACAATGCATTAACCCAAAGTTAATGTTTTTCTGAAGGATTTTTAGCCTACCAATTTCCCATGTTGTTTTTATTCATACGATAAAAAAAATTACTGTTTTAACTAGGAACCAGTGATAAGAAACTCCTAAGAGAATAAATTACTAGTTTACAGCAGAAAGGCTTACATGAGAAAGAAAGACCAAGCTACAAGGGTCATGCGGTTCAGGAATTCCAATAAGATTGAACTCTATCACCAAAGACTGCTAAAAAAGTTCTTGCACTATCTAATCCCTGATCCAGTCAAATAATGTTGGATTAGTTGTGTGCCAGGGAACTCATGCCTCCTCGAAGACAACTTACATAGTCCATATATTTTTCTTACATGTTCTTCTGAAAACTTCCACTCCTCACTGAACATCATCATAACAAACTTTAATGGTCTTCATCTCACAAATTCATGAGCAACAAGTTTTTCTCCACATTGAACTAGAGATCTCTTACCAAACGCTTTCTATTACTAAGCTCCCTATGACTGGGGTCTATTCCCCTTTGGCATTAGTACACACAATAATTGAGCCATAAAGTATCACCGTCATGTATATTATTTGAAAATACTGGGCACTTTCAAGTTATGCAGAAGCTTCATGACAACCATGCACATCTTATTTAACAGCTAATTTATATTAATTAACCATGATCTGTCATGTACTAACAAAAAAATAATTGCACTTCACATGGAAGATTACTCCAGGTGTTGTTGATAGTATATTTGTCCTAGTTCTAAAGTTTATAGCATGTCTAGTGTTGTGTGAAAAGTGGAACTGTGTAGGTGGCCAACTTGGATTAGTTTGGTGATCACAATCCTGATGAAAGTCACTTCTATACTACATTTCACGATGACTTTATATAACCGATTTGGACTTGGTGACTTGGAGAATGGGAAGCCTAAAGTCCTACATCGGAGCACACACAAACACCCTTCTCCTTTCCTCTGTTCCCTCTATTCTCTTCTAGATTCTATTCATACTTGATGAAGGAGAACAAGTGTGTACCATTAGACACATGATATTACCTTTAACTGTAACAATCTTGATTATCATTGTCTTCATCATCAATACCATGCATAAACTCTCAGATATCAGTTTTTAACTCCAGTGAAGCTTCTAATGCAACCCATTCACATAGGTAAAAAATGCTGCTGCATTGCTCTATCTGGCATTAGGCTTGTGCCCCAAAATGATATAATTCATCCTTAGACATCATTTCCTTCAACCAATCTCTCATATTCAAGTACGACATTGTAGCTTTTTGCATTTGTCCTCCTTGATCCTCTTTTTCCACCAGTGTTAAGTTTGTGAGAAGACAATTCAGAAAAATAGATACATTCCTCTTCTGGACAGTAAACATGAGCTTTTCAACATTCACCATGAAATTAGTAGTAAAAAAGAAGGTGACAGGGTGCAGAACATCTAGCTGATCTTAACCCTGCTATGAGAACTGGGAGCCCATTTCAAAGTCATTTTATCATGCAATATAGTACCACAATCAGTTAATTTCATTCTCCCTATAGGGAGAGATGTAGTCCATAAATGTTAAAAAATAATCACATAGCCATCAATATTCTTAGACAATATGGCTACTGTCAAGAGGAAAGCAATGACATTGTGGGACACCTTTTTTCATGGAAGAGGAACCATGTAACCATATAACATTCAAAAATATCTTTAACAATCTCAGCCACCAATCAAAGATAGCTACATGTCAAGTATGCCAATATCAGCAGTCTATCAAGTATGCTACAGGGTGATGTTAGCTCAACAAAATTAAAAAATGACACATTATGGTTTATTTGCTACTGAATGCAAGAAAGTAATCAAGAAAAAAGATGGCATCTATGCTAATAGCAACCAGAAACAAGAGCAAATTCAAAACAAAATTAAAAAAAAACAAATCCCTTTCAAGAAACCCAAATGCTGAGAATCACTTAATGAATACAAATATAATAGGAATTGAAATAATATCAACTAGAAATAAGAAGGAATAGGTCTGAAAAACGGTTGACAAACATGTTATAGATTCACTAGTTTTCAACCTCTTTAAGTACAGCTTGTACTATTTAAAAATCATACAATATTAAACCTTATGACAAGATTAAGTATAAGCTAAAATGGAAAAAAAATTATCAAAGGCAGGTGTAAGTTAATGAGATGAGGACAGTAGTAGTAGAAGACAAGTACAAAAACAAGAGAACAAGAACCTATCAACAGAGAATGCTATCTATCAGTACAATCCAGAGGTCACAAGATGTGAACCAAAATAGTATAAAATAAGGCCACAAGCAAGTAATCAAGAATTTGGACCTCTCACCATTGAATACTAAGCAACATAAAATCCAAAGCTCTTCCAACTCCAACACCAAGAATAAGCAGCCTTCAGCATCTCTAGTTGCATGTCCACAATGGGGTTTCATCATGCCACTAGTACAATGAACTTCATACCACCTGTCCCATTGCCTAACTTCAAATCACCAAGTCATTCAATCTTTTATTCAGACTTCTCCGTGCCAAATATCTATATTTTAACCTCCATTCTTCCTTTTCCTATTCAAAAATCCATAGAATTGCACATAGCACGATTTTTTTTCTTATTTACCTTCTCCCCTTTTTCCACTATGCATTTTTTTTTTCATTTTTTTTTGGCCTATGATTTTCTTCTCTGAGTTCTCTCCCAAGAATTTTTTTATCTTCTTTCTGGTGACTCTTTATCTTGATTATAACATAAAAAAAGATTTTTTTCCCTCATTTCTTTCAACTAGAAGCTTATTGTAAATCAGAACTTCCCAGCACCCCACTATTCTGGGTAACAGAGAACTCGCTATGGGAGGAGTGTACCTGCGGCCATTATTAGACATTCTGTTAAGATTTTTCCCAGTACTTGATAAGTAGAGACAGATATGTCTCGATCAATAAAAAAAGATGTCAACTGACCAAAAAAGTAAAGAATTGTTTCCTTCTACTTGATATGGGATCATGAAAAGAAGTCAACAGATTGAATAGGCATTATGTTCAAAGTAACATATGGTGTTGAATGCCAAATGTAAGCATATGCAATTAGCTAGAACAAGAAACAAAGGAATAATCGCCGTGCATTCCATATTTTATCTGCCATGTGGTTTACCTATTTGGTTGGGTAGGAGCAAAAATAAAAATATGGAATGCTGATAAAGTGGAACAATTTAGATATCATCGAAAATAAGGTATTTTTGATTCATCTCCAAAGAAGAACTATCGATTTCAAAAGGACCAACTTGTGCCAAGAGCCACAAGGTCACACATTTATAGCTGTTAGAAAAAAAATGAAATGTAAGATTGAATATCTCATCGGTAACGTTCCTTCCTGGTAGCTGAACTGTAGAGAACTAAGAAACAATGTAAAGCCAGCATGGCGAAACTAAAAGCACTCTGAAAGAAGCACACAAAATCTTGTTTCATCAACTATTATATCATATTCAGAAATGCCAGAAGAAGATTTCAAAAGTAAAAAAAAAAATGCTGTCCTCTTAACCAAGTGGAACATTCGGAAATGCCACAGAGGAAGAGAAACTTACAAGAGCCATTGTGAGAATACCAGGATTAGATGTTATACATGTGCAATTGTTATATAAGAGTATCACAAAACCATTAGCTTACAGATCTTATTCACAGGGTTATCATGCTGATAGCTGGAGCTATGAAATACTAAGCCACACTAAAAGTTGGCATGAATTTAGATCTGTTCAATATAGCTGCAAAAGAGTAAAATAATGAAACTCACATTGCCAACAAATACAGAACGAGCATCAACCTCCTCCTTGCTTGCTTGTGTTGCTGCCGAACCTGCAGGGTCTACACATAACAAGATGAAACTTGATTATATACTTTTTTGGAATTTAGTCATATGTGAACATAAAACTAAAAACATCAACTTTAACAAAAAATAAAACATTAGTGTACAACCACCATAAAAGACAATAAAAGGAAAAATACTTATAAAACATTAGTGTATAACCACCATAAAAGACAATAAAAGGCTAAATACTTATAAATGGTTTCTCTGCAAACAAATATTGGTATGAAGTCGCATAAAAAACCCGATGGCCTTCCTACTACTAACTTGAGTTTAAGCATTTACTATGGTAAGGTAATTTAGGGTTCATTATTTTAAAGTTATTGGAGACATGATAAAATATTATTTTAGAAAATTATTTATGTGAAACAAAGGTTTATAATTTCGATCCGCACCGATATACCAACCAATAATCAGTATGGTACGTACCGAGACGTACCAACAGTACACCCAAAAGAATCAAAATAGCTCCACAAATATCTGAAAAATAAAAAAAAAATTAGATTAAGGTTTTTAAGTTGAAAACAAATATAAATTTTGTATAAATTTATCAAAAAAATCTAAATTATAAAAGAATAATGACATTTATTTTGAGCTTTGAGGAGTAATTTTGTAGTACATTCTAAACCATCCTTTCGTTAATATTGAATTATCTATAAAGAAATAAAATGATTTAAATTGTTAGATTTAAAAAAAAAAACTTAAACTTTAAAATTCAAATGAATCAAATAATCGATCGATGAATATACCTAGTTCTATCACCAAAAAGGACAACAAGACTCCACAAGCAATGGATCAAGGTCCTCGATCCTATGTATTCGTATATCAATTTGACGTGTTTGTCGGACCCAATCCTACAATTGATCCCACGATATAGTATACTGATATATCGTGTGTCATTAATGCATCAATGTAGTGATAATCGTAATCTGATTGTCGTGAATCACACATGCCCGAGGCGACTACCAAGACAAGTACGATTGTGGTATATATTGGTGCGAAGAATAAAAAATATCAAAACTTTGATCCAAGTGTTAGCTAGGTAAGCGTCCTGCAGTAAGAAGGTAGTTATGAACCCTGTAGACCATCCCCATGGGGGCGGTGAGGGGAGAGCCCCAACTTTCGCCACTGATATGTTGTTCTATATCATAAGGTCGATCACCGTACTGTTGGTCGGAGAAGTATGACCAACTATCCCCATACTTTTGTTGGTCATAAGATTTTCCATGATACGATGGCTATAAATACGATGAGATTTGCTTTGTGTCTATGTTGTGTAGGCTCTGTAGCATCTACTCAAAATCATCCATTGTCTTCCCCTTCCCCTTCCATGTATAAACTTAATAAGTACCTTATCGAGTTTCCTTATCTAAATCTTTGGTGACATATGTAAAATACTACTTGATCCATGTACCATTCTAAAATTATATAGACGGGACCATCGACTCCCCGGTATCGCTGCCATCATCAGTTGAGATACTACTGTCCACGTCGCTACCATGTCACTGAATTGAGCAGGTTGTCGAATGCGATTGAGAAGGTGTTTCATCGCCTGACTCAATTCTTTTCAACAATATGATTGATGCCTACTATCTTCCCCTTGATCGATAACAATCGCACTCAGATCGTTACCAACCAGTACAGGTCGGTAACGATCAGATTTCGATCGTTACCATACTGGTCGGTAATGATCAGATTTCAATCGTTACCACTCGGTATAGACCCCGTAATGCCCGATAAGGGGTTAGGTTTTGGTATCACTCGATAGGGGAGGTTATGGTACTACCCGATAGAGGATGATCCACGTACCGAGCCTCTGTCGGATTGGTACATACCGCTCGTACTGGGCAGCATGGTTCGGTACGATGAACCCCGTGTGAAACATGAGTGCCCTAAACTCGAAGTAAGCCATGATACCTTAAATGTTAATATCAAATCACTGTCCCACAAAGTAATTGCCACTATCACTCAAGTGAGTCTCTGTGACTGGATCACAACTATGTTTAAACTAGCAGCACTTCACTATTACAATCACATAAATAGCTGCTCAATTGCAGAATTAATAAATTTAATTACGGTGACCGAAGACCTCTAACTTCACTGCAATGTGGATCTAACATCTCATCAACGATACATCAAACCCAAAAGCACCGAGAAGATGGGGCGAAACCTAGCGACGGAGAGGAGATCGGACCTTGGGCGGCGCCCATCTCCTTCTCAACCTTGGCCTGAATCTCCCGGAGAGCGGCGGCCTCCTCCTCCATCTCCTTGAGCCGCTTCTTCATCTCGTCGAGTTCCTGCAACTAATCCAAATCGACAAGAATAGGGGGATTAGGGTTAGGGTTTCAGGGGATTTCTAAGAGTGGGAGAGGATCGAAGAGGTAATGACCTTAGCAGCGTCCTCGTCGGAGCGACCGATGTCTACGTCGGCGTCCATGTCAGCCTCGTCGGGTATCTCGCCGCCATAGACCTCGTGCTCCTCTTCCTCCATCTCTTCGTCCCTTCAGTCCCTCATCGCGCTTGCGCACAGTCTCCTCGTCGGCTTTTATAGGCAGCCGTATCCGCATACAAACTCCTATGATTCTCGATGCTCGCATAACGGCCGCTGCGATGATATATCGGTCGTGATAAGTTCCTATGGGTTCTCGTTGTTTGCATAACGGTCGCTGCGAGATATATCGGTTGTAATGACAAGTGTTATATTTTTGTATTGGCCGTTACGTTGCGAGTATCGGATGTCGTCGGACACGATCACCAATTTGTCGGCATAAATGTAGTATTCGATATATTTGTAACAGAGAGTAGATTAATGGTGATAAATTACTCCGTTTCCTCTGACGATCGTATTATAACTAATGAAGTTGACTTGAAGCTCGCTCCATGGCAGCAAGTACTCGTGAACATCATGCTTGATAAGGCCAAGCATTGTAAAAGATGCATTTGGGAAAAAACGAGTTCTATCACCCCTTCTGCGGGTCGCAATGCGAAGCTAACGAACCATAAGACAAGTACGCCACATTAACGAAAATATTGATGAGAAGAAATAATCAAACAAAAAATGTTTCTCTCACATTTCAAAATCCACTTAGGACCAGTTTTGTCTCTAAAGCCATCTCGAGCATTTGACCTGGCACAAGTTTTCAACTCTACTCCATCACATTGCCAATTAAATTCCAGTCCAATACAATCTAACAGGCAGATTGCAAAATCATGCAGGAAAATGTCGGCGAAATCCACGTCAACATCAAAGAAACAAAGAGATCAGCCTGTGTTTATCACAAATACTGAAGCAAAAAAATACTTGAGCTTGTTCCCTGCTTAAAAAGCAATAGTCTAGGCTGCAATGGATGGCTTGGAGGCGGCAGAAAGCTTGGACCTCCTCTTGGCCAAGCTCTCACTCCTGCGCTCCCTCTGCTCCTTGAGCCTGGTAGCAAGCAGCTTCTGGTACTCAGCAGCTTCAGACTTGGCCTTAGCAATCCTCTTCTTCTTCTCTGCGATCCTGGAGTGCTTCCTCTGCAAGGTCAAGGGAGTCACAAGCCTCTGAATCTTTGGTGCCTTGCTGCACTTCTTGCCTACAAAGAATGTATCAAACATGAAACAAGACAAAACTTCCACATCGGAAAAGCATCTCTTGGAGAGGGAAAAAGACTAGCCATCAAATGCATGTTGCAGTAACTTAAAAGCAACCCACTTCCAAATAACATCACAACAGATGGTTGTTAACTGTATGCAAAAGAAATTGCAAAGCTAACAAATCTCCCCAACTTCGTGCACTATATATAGTCCACCAACACTAAAAGCTCCAACAAGAAATGGTAGCAGAAGCATGCACTGGATTCAAGTCCTGGAGGAGGTCAAATGCAAATCTAGTAGACAAACCAGCACCTTAATTTTTTAAATAGCTAGTTTAGTAACTCTTGAGGTAATAACAATGAAAAAGGTGTATTGTCAAAAGGCAATAAAATCTGGTAAAATAAAACTGCACCTGATTTTGTTGTAAATGTTCGGCGGTACGTATTGACATACTTGCGAACATCATCCTCCTTTGAAAGGTTGAATAGCTTGCGAATTTTGGAGGCCCTCTTGGGTCCCCTCATTCTCGGCTTCTCAATGTCAGTCAATCCTGGAAGATCATTCTCACCCTTCTTGACAATAACTAAGTTCAGAACTGAGAGATCAGGGCTAACAATGCAACCACGAACTGACTTCCTCCTACGCTCTCCGTTACGCCTTCCATAGCCACGGAAGCAAGGTGTACCTTAACAAATTATCCAAAATTACAAAATCATCTAAAGAAGAATTCCAAGTGATTGCATAAACCACAACAAAATATCAATACCCCTGTGAAGCAGCAGACGGACACGACCAGGAGTTAGCACTCCCTGCTTCATGGGGAAACCTTGTTTGTCACAACCTCCCATGATCTTGAAAACATAACCTTTGAACTCCTGGATGAAAATGGCACATCGTTTACATTTTTTGATATTGCAATCTTCCAAATATGTTAACTGCTAAAAATGTTGCTGAATCATACCTCCCCAAGAGCATCTCCACTAACTTCCTGAGAGATCCTTTTGTCAAAAAATGCACGACTACAAACCAGATTATGAAAGCTCAGTACATTATCATTGCAAAAAAGGCTACAACAACCCTAAATACTTGACTTAAAATTATTTCCAACTGCTGGTTAACGATTAAAAATGTCAAAAATGAGCTAGACAAAAACTGGAAAAAAGTGCAAAAATGCTAAGAGAGATTTCAGGGTTCTTGTCCATGCTGCACATATTATACAAGTAGAGTTTAATTGCTTTACTAGTGTAAATCAAGAGGCAGGTGACAGAAAACTATTATGTCAATAGATAACTCCAGCTTTCCCTTTCTCAATATGCTGAGAGAGTAATTGATCAAACAGTAATGAGGATACAAAATGGCACTGCTAAGTACTGCAAGTGCAGAGGCTGTTTGTACCTGGTGTATTGAGCTTTGCCCATGCAAATGCAGAAATTGCTTTCTCCATTTGAACACATGACACCAAGGTTACCACATAGCAATCTCTACACTATGAACCATCCACCAAGACAAGCACAGGTCTTCAAATGACTTTAGTTGCCAACTTAACCATCAAACAAGAGGACAAGACATCAACTGTTTACTTTGTGTTATAATGAAATTGATCTTTAAAAGGCTACTGGTGCTTGTAGATACTGCATAAAAAAGTATTCAACTGCATAGATTCCTCAGTTGTCCAATGTCACCCTGCAAATATCCACCTTCACAACATAAGTTCCAGTAACCTGAAATATGTAATTACCTCCAGAAATTATATCTTGTTGGTGCCATTCCTTCTTCATCTTGCCTCAAATGGGTTCTCTAATGCTATTTCAACATCTATATTCAAATATAATCCAACCAGGATTGATGATTTCCAGGACAGTGTGACCTGAGGCTATGTTTTAAGGTAAAATTAGTTCCGAATCGACTGATCTACCTCAGAAATGACATAGGTCAATCATTATAAGTCAACTCCTCACCACAGAACAATCAATAGTTCGTTTGAATCAAAAGATAATCAAACAATCAATTTCTACCAATCATAACATTTTGGAAGAAGTCAGGCATTGTGCCATCATCTTGAAAACCATATCCTACAACAAGCTGTAATGTCTCAATTGTAGACTAAGTGCTACAACTAAAAACAGAAATAGGTGACTCACTGAACAAGACAAATCAAAAGGAAAACACCGCTTACGAAAGGGAAAAAAACATAAAGCAAAATAAAAAAAAAGCTGCAGGATAAAGGATAAACAGTATAAGCAGCACCATTTGAAATCTATAGGAATTCCAGAATAAATTTCACACCCACATGTAACTACTAGTAATAATAACAGCTAAGTGAATTTGCAGGGAAAAATGAAATCAAATAGAATGCCTATTGCTAGTTCGACGGATACACAGTTTTGTCTGAGATGATAATGCACCCACGAACAGCATATGATTAATGTGTATACCACATTTTTATGACCTTTAAATTAAAACAGTTGTAAGCATCAAACTTTCTTGTTTACAACGTACAATAAGACTACTAATCACGACTTCCTTATAGCTATTAGGAGACTAAAGTCTTCTTGACTAAAATCATTTGTAAACTATTAGTCACTTTACAGAGACGAACCTGATGGATGCACAGTAAACTAAAAGTTGCACTGATTTCAAAGTAATACTAGTTCAGAAAACCAAATTCAACACCGACTCCTCACGAATGAGATTGTAAGAATGATCATGGTCCGAACAATCTAACAACAAGTTCTTCGACGACCATTTATTTTAGCTAATCGAGTAAGAAAAATGGTAGCACTAGCGGAGTTCCAAGTATACTAGCACCAAGTTCTTCTAGAACGAAGACAGTTGATGTTTAGCGGCGTCAAAGATGAAGAAAATGCACTAGCGATACAGGATAAAAATGATAAGGACAGAAATAATTCGGATCTACAAAGAAAACGTAGAACAGAATCCACAGCCGCTTACAGCTTCTGGTCGTCATCAATTTCAAGCTTCTTCTGGCATCCAGTGGTCGGATTAGCAATATTGAACTGCAACAATAACACCAAAACCAACAATCAAACTCATCGGGAGCTCCATAACGAACAATCAAAGAAAAGAGATCTCACGAACGCATCAGCCTGTTTGGGTAAGTACCTTCATCTTGGTTCAAAGACTCGCCGGGCTCCACGAAGCAAGCGCGAGAGAGGAGCTCGGACCGCCTTATCGAAACGACTCCGCCGTTAGGTTTTCTCTCGGTATCGCCTGCTCTTTTATACGACGGTCGAAGGAGAGCGCAACCAGCGTCCTCGGATCCCGACCGTTCGTTCCTGCGCCTCACCACCGTTTGATCGTTTCGATCCCTTCGAGCCACGTTCTTCCGCTTGTCCGGTAGACCGAACCAAATAAATCGAAGCGAACCGTAATGGGGCAAATGTGTTAGTTTAGGACTGTTAGAGGGATATATAGGTAAAACCGTCTTCGGTGCACCGTTGCCTCCCACCATCCTCCCTTCTTAGCTGTCCCAAATCTCTCTCCTTTCTTAATTAGTCGTCCTCCAAAAGCGTTGCATCACAAGACAGCTGTCTCTTGTCGCTTTGTGGATCGACCGACCCGATGCTTCTTCCTGCTTGCTATCGACGGTGGATCACAAACACTCTCATGGGATCTGCTGTGCATTCATCAGCCCTTGTAACTTCTTTACCGCACGGCCCTTAAAATTTCCCTTCCGATTATTATTATTCATTTTTCAGAAAAAACGAAAATAGAAAAGAGTTCCGGTTTGGGATCTTCTCCAGTGATTGTACAATGATGGGACCGATCATTATGGAGATGGTGATCGGTACCCATTGTGGTCGGTTGTGATATGGAATTCGATTGATTTATTGGAAGCCGAAGTTGGAGAAGATCCTTGCACAAACTTTTTATCTTCCCCTTTAAAAGCTGCCTTCTCTGCCTCTTCTTTTCTTCTCCGTCTGCGTTTTGTTTGGTTCTCCTCCTCGGTTTCTTTGGGCGGTAGAGGCGGCGGCGGTGGCGATGGCGGGGACGAGGGAGGAGAACGTATACATGGCTAAGCTGGCGGAGCAGGCGGAGCGGTACGAGGAGATGGTCGAGTTCATGGAGAAGGTGACGGGGGCCGCAATGGAAGGGGAGGAGCTAACGGTGGAGGAGCGCAACCTCCTATCGGTCGCCTACAAGAACGTGGTCGGCGCCCGCCGCGCATCGTGGCGGATCGTCTCCTCCATCGAGCAGAAGGAGGAGAGCCGCGGCAACGAGGGCCACGTCGCCGCCATACGCGACTACCGCGCCAAGATCGAGACCGAGCTCACCTCCATCTGCGGCGGCATCCTCCGCCTCCTCGACGAGCGCCTTGTCCCTTCCGCCTCCGCCGCCGACTCCAAGGTCTTCTATCTCAAGATGAAGGGAGACTACCACCGCTACCTCGCCGAGTTTAAGACCGGCTCCGACCGCAAGGACGCGGCCGAGTCCACCCTCGCCGCGTACAAGTCCGCCCAGGTACTTATTCGTTTAATCTCTCTCCCGATCTGACGCCTTGGTCTTCCATGATATGGTCTTGACTAACCCAGAGTTAGTCATCAGATCACTGGATTGAGTCGTTTGATCTTTGTTTTGTACATTAATATTCTGATAATCTTGATGCTTGACGGGGGATGCCGGATGGAAACAAGATGATCGATAGGATTAGCGTTAGTGCATGTATCTTTTGGATTCTGATTTGGCTTGTATCTATGGATTGATAGGACATTGCGTCGGCGGAGCTTTCATCCACTCATCCGATCCGGCTGGGCCTCGCACTCAACTTCTCGGTGTTCTACTACGAGATCCTGAACTCACCGGATCGTGCCTGCGACCTCGCAAAGCAGGTGAACTACGGATCTCTTTGTTATGGCCATTCTAAATTGCATTCTCTTTCGAAAGCAGGCTATTACGTTAATTACTCCATCTATACTGTCGCTCTGCCATATTGTAATGTTTGACAGCTTGATTCACCTCAGCCATGTCTCTTCCTTATTGTATGTGGATAGGGATTTGGGAACCAGTAGTTATCTAATTCATTGCAAGTTTTCTGATATCTCAAAACTCCCTTTTCAAAATTAATAGTTCTATGGCTTCGGGGTTCCATTTTTTTCTTGGTTAATTTTTGATACATGATGCTTGTAATACCGATGATGTCTGGATTAGCCCGACTCGGTTTTAGGCCACGTGCACAAGAAATCTGGTGTGGTCGAAAGCTCGTGCTCCATAGCTGACTTGCGTAAAGACTAAGGTCGAGCAGCTTTCCTAATGTGGTCCCTTTGAGTCTGGGTGACGAAATGGAGTAGCTTTAATAAACAGTAATTGATCTCGAGTGTTGTATCTCGAATAGCTTTTTATAGCAGGCAAACCGGGAGGAATAATATTTGATGGTATGAATGGAATGTTCCTTCAGCCTTTCATTTTCGGAGCAAGACGGAACATTTTCCCATATCGTTATTTTGGACTATGGCCCATGTGGCCTGGCCAGTGACGGAGCTTTGCCTTCCTACTGCCGATTGCGTTGCCACGAATCGAACCATGACTAGGGACAAAATTTTCCTCTATCAATACATCATTTTATTGATATACTTGCACCACTATTTCTTTGTGCAGTTCAACATAAGGTTGTGTTAAGAACTTATTCTGTTTTACCCCTTTACATTTCCTTGAAGATTGAGCAAACATTTAAGGTGGAAAGATATTATTAGTCATGGAAATCTTTCTTTCTCTTAGGTTTGGCCTTCCACATGCGGTTTGGTTTTGCCAGCTACCTCTGCATATGTCGAATCTGTTGCTTGTGTAACTAATGGAAATGCCAAAGTCCTCTGACTTAATATTGCTTTTTCTTGTGAATCAAGGCTGCAATCTCATGTTGATTATGCTGCATCCAAGAGTATTGTATAATTGTTGATTTCTTCTTGGTTATGTTTGGCTCAATTGACATGTTAATTGAATTGATCATTCTATTTAATATATAACATGAAATTTGATTCTATGTGATGTGTACAAAAGCAGTTGGAGATGTATATGGCTATGGCAATTGTTCTATCATCTAACCCAATTGACTGTCTATGATAGCCTCTTTGTTTATCTTATCATGCTTAATGTTATTTGGTAAAAGATAGCTATCAGCTCCATCAGCTTCATACCTTTAAGCCTTCAATTTGGTACAAGTCAATCTTGTATGAGTGTTTAAATAATCAACTCCTGTCATAGTTCTTATTATGTAAGTTTTAAGATCCCTATTGATTTCTTTAAGTGTCTGTCTACACCTTTTTTCTCTTTTCGTTTGTTTGTCTAAAAGATTACAATGGATCATCCCGCAGGCATTTGATGAAGCAATTGCTGAACTGGACACCCTAGGAGAGGAATCTTACAAAGATAGCACTCTCATCATGCAGCTCCTTCGTGACAACCTGACACTGTGGACTTCAGACATGCAGGTGGGTTTACTTGTTCAACCTTCCATTCACCTCGCATCGGAAGAATCCTACCCCATTCATTGTTGTGGATTTGTTTGCTCTCAAACAGGATGATGGAGTGGACGAGATCAAGGAAGCGCCCAAGGGCGAGGACCAGTAGCAGAAATATATCATGTCTCCCGATTAAGAAGCTTCAATCTCTTCAAATCCTCTTGCTTTGCCATATGATATATAGGTGGAGATTGCGTCTTCTCTGTGGTCTTCGCTTCGATGTCCGAGTGCTTCGTTAATCGTATTCGCTGTCGTTCGTGTTCTTTTCATTTTAAGCTGATGGAACCCGCTTGTTATGTGTCGTTTGCTTCCGCAGTGGCGTCTCTGCTGCCAGTGTGTGTGGATTTTGAGGGGCAAGAGTTGTCACTGATTTATTGACTAGATAGAGCCACTCTGCTTCATTGTGGGCATCGAGATCAGGCATTCATGTGACACGCTGCTCTCAGGATAATACCATACAGAACAATAACGACCATCCAAGGTCTGCTTATGGCCGTCAGTTATCCTCTAGCAATAGGCTCTACTGCTGGAACAAAGATAGTTTATGGCACAATCAGTCACCACACTATACTAGAAATCCTTGGCTAAGTCGAGAAGAATGGGATACATCAGTACATATTAATCGAAATTATCTTAACAAAATAGTAAGAGTGACTGAATTCCAAGGGGTTATGCTGCATCGCACGAGCCATCCCATCCCAGCACGCGAAGTAATTCTAGTACGTGCCTTTTTGTCCCACAAAAATATCTTTCGATCTGATCGTATGTATTTGGGGAACAAGAAATGGAATCAAACCTAACATATAATCATGTTGGTTGGCATCGAGGACATGTATGTATTTCTGCCCCTCACACCAATGCTGATCAAAGCAGGTGTGTTTTGATGTACATAAAAAGCATATGAAATCACATAACAATTTGCAACTGCGGCGCACCTCCGGCTAAGACATGGAGTACCTTGACGACCGGTAACGAGCACGAAACGATGTGAGTCATCTGCTTCAGGGATCTCCCAACCTCGGGCTCGGCAGCTGTACCCCTGGAGAGGTCGGCAGCCCCAACCCCGGCGCAGCCATCATCATCTGGTACGCCGTCCGTGGCGACAGCAGGCATCCGAAACCTAGCGGCGAGCTCGGCGGCGGCAGCGCCGGCGCAACTGCTGGAGATGGGGCCAGGCACGGAAGGCCGCCACCGCCGCGGAGGCGACGCATGTAGGCCGAGATCGGTGACTCTGCCGCGGCGCTGACGGTCGGGAGTGGTGGGAGAGGTGACAGCGGGGGCCGCGTCCAGGGTTCCACGGCAGGCAGGGGCGGAGGCGGGGCGAGGGCCGGAAGGCGGGGGGCGAGGTGGGCTAGCGGCGGCGGGCGTATGCGGTGGAGGCGGGAGGTGGGGGCGGCGGCGACAGACGTGGCCACGGGTGGGACGGCAAGGGGGGGACGTGGCGGCGGCAGCTCCGCAGGCGGGGGACGGGTCTGGTGGTGCGCAGGCGACCCGGTGAGCTTCTGGACGATGTCGCGGAAGTTGTTCTTGTCGATGTTGTACACCGGCGGCTGCGGCTGGTACGGCGGAGCTCCCCCGCCGCTACCAACGCTCGCCCCCGTCGCCGCCGCCGCCTCCGGACCCGGAGTAGCAGCAGCAGTCGATGCAGCTGCAGGATTAGGGCTTCTGGTTAGCGGTTTGGAGATCTTGTAGGAGGCTCTGTTGAGTGACCTAAGTGAGCTGTTGCTGCTTGTCTTGGTGTTGCTGGCCGAGCTGCTGCTGCCACCGCCGCCAGCAGTACAAGCATCAGCAGCCGCAGCAGGAGTCAAAGAGTGATCATCCGCAGCGATGACGGTGGTGGTGGAGGAGGAGGCGGACGAGGCGGAGGTGGTGGTGGAGATGGAGGATGAGGAGGAGGAGAGATTAGCAGCGGAATGACAGGCTTTCTCCATCATTATCTGCAAGACTGAAAGGGCGTTTGAATCTTCTTTCCTGGCTTTTGTGTGTGGAAACGGCGGTGTTGGGTCATATAATAACAATAGCTTGAGCACACTGACAAGCGACAGCACATGCTCATTAAACGCATTTCTCTCCTGTGTGTCACTCGCCATATGAAAAGATTTGAAAGGAATCCATCGCGTCTGTTCTGCAGAGAGACAAAGACCTCATCTTCCCCATTCATACCATGCGTGTGCCGAGTCCAAACCCTGTTAGCTACTTCATCTCAGATCAACAACGATCCAACCCACTTCATTTACATTCAATGGAGGAAGTAAAGGCCACACCCGATGTCTGGGTATTAGTGTGTATGAGCGAGGGAGAGAGAGACAAGGTATGAATGATGGGTGTCATATAATAAGCAGTCAGGGGCCCAGGAAGGAGCAGACAGAGCTGATGAAGATGACGACCGTTGATGGAGACGGTCAAAAGGTTGCGTTTCGGAGACCGTAAGATAACGACAACTTTGAGAGAGAGAGAGAGGGGGGGGAGAGGAGGCAGTAATTTTGCGGTTGCTGTCTTGCTTGCAGTGGAATTCTAAGATTCTGTCAGCTAAATAACACGACAACTGAGAGGGGGCTCGCTTGGCACCAAAGCGTCGCCTTTGACGGTTGACCGGCCCACATCTACTTGCCGTGCTCATCCTTTTCTTTCTTTCATTTTATTTCTATTTTCCGGGCATCTTTACTATTTATTTTGATCTTTTAGTTTTAGGCGTCGGATCGTGATCTAAAGGCTGAGATAAATTCCTGTTATTTTGGCTGTAGTAAGACCAAGAGGCACTGTAGATCTGGTGAAAGAGATCGGCCACCGACACCGGATGGGAAGGGCCCACTCGTTTCCCTCCACGTGTTCCATGTATTATGGATCATCGAACGATGCCCGTTGCCCCTTCTTATGAATTACACGTCTCACGCACCTGTCCTTGTGGCTGCGGGGGAGTGGTGGAAAGAGGACCGCAAAAAGCGGGACCACCGCACGCAATAACAGAGCAGGTAGGGCAACTGGGTCGGCGGTGAAACGGATGAAAGCGTTTCGATCGAAAGAACCAATTAAAATTCTAGTTCGAGAGGAGCGGATCAAGTGAGTTTTCGGGTCGGATCCAATTCACACTCCGAATCCGCATGAAAAACAGGTTTCGAGCAGCATGAGATCATAAATTTTTTTTAATTTTTTACTAAAATATACAAAAAGAGTGAGGTCGAGCACTCGGAGGTCATTATCTTCTCCTTCTTAACTCGAGATGGGTACGATAATGCCAAATATAGCTCATCAGTTTGGTCGATTATGATAGATTTTTTTTTTTTTTTCTGTTGGAGGGGGGGACGATAGATTGTCACCAGCAACACATGCACCCCTTGTCAGCAATTCTCATCGAGCAATGGAGATCGAAAAACCCAACCCCCTCCTCCGCCTAAGATGGGTCTCTCAGTGATCCCTTGACAATAAGTGTCTCCGTAGCTCATCACATCATCGCCAAAAGCACCCACATGCCTCGCTTATGGTCCTCACAGAGCCATGGAGGTCGAGAGGCTTGACCACCCTCCTCCGCTCGAGGTATGGAGTTCAAGTACCCGACCCTCCTCTTTTATCGCCAATGAGCAACAAAGGTCAGGAAAATATAGGTAAAAATCGGCTCTCGCCTCCTAAGATGGGTCCCTCGGTGATGGGAGGGGCAGGTTGACGATGAGAGTTTTCGCAACCCACTGCATCATCAGTAGTAATGCTTGCACCTCTTACTTGTAGTCCTCCTCGAGCTATGGAGATTGGGAAGCTTGACCACCCTAGTTTGCTCAAGATATGGAGGTTGAAAAACCTGACCCCCTCCTCCACGCAAGGTGGGTCCCCCGACGATGGTAGAAAAGATTAACGATTGGAGTCTCTACAACTCGTTGCATTGTTGCTAACAACACTTGCTGTTGAGAAACCTAGGGGTGATATCATATGTGCAACGGAAGAACATAAAATAAAAAAATAATATTTCCAAAAATATGTTCATCGTCATGCAAAGATTGATGTACAAAAACTCATGAAACTAAAAACCATGTGTGAGATAATTACGTTACTTAGGGAAATTGTATATCTTTGAAATTCTACAGATCTGTGGGAGAGGATGAAGGATGTCAAGCGTCCTCCTCTCTAGTGGTGATCCACAAGATAGAGGCTGTAAAGATGCTCATCGAATCGCTACCTAAATCTCCACACCTGCTACATGAGAAGGAGAAGAGAGGAGAATAGGAGGTGGCAACTAAGAAGTCTTCCTATGACCCTTTAGTGTTCTCCTATTTATAGAGACCTCTTGTCAACTTAAGTCTAATGAATCCTACCATATTGGGTATTTGATATCTATCCAATTACCCAAGCCTCTTATATTAGTGCGTCTCTACCCAATAATATTTTATTAGCTCTTATTCGATCTCATTTATAAGATCCAATAATTTATGGGCTTAATAGATATCCAATAAGATAGGGCTCCTATGAATATCTCATATATGAATTTCTACTCGTCGTAACACCTACTATATGTGTATGACTCTCTAGGCCTAATATTGAGCTTGTCATGAGTCATAAATATCAGAACTCTTTCTAGCTCAGTGAATTATTATCTCCATAATAATTCATTCGACTCATCGATTGTGGACGTACTAGGCCACTATGCCGCAGTACCAAACAATATAGGGGAATCAAATACTTTTGACCTATCTGTCCTTAATTATCATGTACTTATGGTCCCTCATCCATCTAATATCAAAGAGACTATATACTGGTCATAATACTATCAGGCTCATACGGTTTCTCCTCGAGTCTCGCTCTAATTGAATTCTCCTAGAGAACTCTTTCTTTCTCAATTTGAATGATCATAGCTAAGGATTTGTTTGAGCAAGAATACATGAGATATTTCTCTCATGATACCGAGAGTAGATAATCTTCTACTGATACTCAATAGCTCTCGTAAGGTTGGTTGTCACTCCCGATGACCGACTATACTAGATCTGAGACTTCTAAACCTATAAGTCTGCCATCAAAGATCGGAGTACTGATACATGATATCATTGGTGTCTCAAGTCTAAGGACCAAGTACATAATTGAGACGATGAAATTACTATCTAACAATGAGATATCATAAACCATCAAACTTTCTGTGAGCGAATCATTCAGCGAACTCATTCTCTAACAAGTATATACAATGTAGCCCTAGTGTCCCCACACGAATAACTATGAGACCAGCCGCCTCCATCGTATGGATGGGTATACAACAAACACACTAGTTTGTCCAATTATCTCAATATTCCTCTCGAGTAACATATGACCATGATTATTTATGGTGTGTTTAAAAGTGAATCAATATCATTATCGTGATCTCATCACGATCTGATTCTTATTATACAAATCTATTAACATCACAATATATTTATGCATCAAG